TTGATCCAAAAGCTGAAGCAGGCGGCTTGGAATGAGTCAGCTAAGGACTTTACGCTGAGGCATCCCAACGAGCGTGGCATCTGCACGTGTTTTTTTTGGGGGCGAGGGTTGTTATCTCATCTTTTCCTTTTATTTTTCCTTTGTTCTTTTTGTTTTTTTTTTTGGGGGGGGGGGGGGCAGATATTGCAGCCAAGCCAACAGGAACTCCACCATTTTGGCAGGGTCCCCTACATTGGCACATAGCACATGCCCCAATACTGTGGGCCGAGCTGAGTAGAGGAGGTCATCGATCTCCAAGATGAACAGCAAAGCTACGGCGTTCAGCATGATATTGGTCACGTCTCCTCAATATGGGTGCTGTTCAAATGGTGGTCCCCTAAAAATTGTGATCTCTTCTTGATTTCCCTTTAGCTACGAACCAGAAGGGGTTGCACCATTTTGAGAAAAACACGATGTGGGTGTGGGTCAAAATTAAACGACTAGGGCACCGCAGGTTTTAGTCCATGTTTCCATTTACTAAGCTTCCGTTTTGGGTACCTATTTTGACCCACAGCCATGCAACCGCCGATAATCCGGAAAGAACCGTCTCACATGTGCCAAGCCTCAACCTGTATGGCGTCCCCAGCTCCGCGATACCCTGGTACCCTGGTATGGCTTGTGGCATGGACAGCACCCCTCTAGGACTACATGCATCGCAGGCCTCCAATCAAGGGGAATGCCCAAGTCTCCCCTGAACCTCCTGAATGCGGCAAGCTCCAGCCCGGAAATTGGGCCTTTAGCCTGGCCATTGCCCCCCGTTCTATTCAAAGATCCGGCCAATTGCTGAAAACCCGAAGGAACCCTGTCATTTCTGAACAGCAGGATGGGTGGAGAGAATGGGGAATACTTGGGGTACCATGCGGGTCAGGAGCGGAACCCGAGGGCAGAACTCCTGCAAGGACGCTCGCGCTATCTTCGAATCCTCACCCACGCTTTAAGGAGAGCCCGTAGCCAAACGTACGGCTGGCATCCTTTGGCTTCAACTTTCAGGCCAACATCACTCCGCCCCTCTTTGGCCAACAACTACATGCAAAACATCAAACAAACTTGCATCTTTGAGTGAACCTTCGACTTTACCAATGAAGGATAACTATTTTCCCAAAAGGGGGGGTCCACCCAACCATCCAAATCCCTGCCATGGATACCTCCCGATGGCTGTCACCCGAGGCTCGGGTCTGGCACAGCCACATGCCGCCGGAGATGCCCAGCATGACTGCGATGCCTGTAGGTGGATGGGGGGGCGGGCGGGCGGGTGGGGGGGGGGGGGATGCAACTCATAAATGGCCGTCTCTTAAAACGGAACTTGGACCTTAAGAAACAAGGCTTGCCCTTTGGTTTTTCGTTAAACCAGCCCCGGAAAGGGTACACCCAAATGCCTGTAACTGTAACTCAAAATGTTTGGGGCTGGTTCGCCCGTAAGGCACGGTCAATTTGTTGCTGACACATAGGAAAGCAAAGCTTGAAGTTGGAGAGTCCGCTGGCTTTTGGCGGAAATTGGGGAAGTCACCCATGTCCTGACCTGAAGGGATATGTTGACGAATGTAACATTTTTGGCGGGAAGCTGACTGACAGGGTTCTCGGAAAAAAAACAGTTTTGGGGGGTGCCCTGAGTGGATAAATCCAATCTTCTCTGGCCCTCTCCCGCTTATCACGGCCCTGTGTGGCAGCGGGCAAAACAAAACACATTTGCCAGACAGGGAGACAGGGAGGGGGGGATGTCCAACCATAATTGGAAGACGTATTGGCTGCATTGGTGACTTCAACGGTATGTTTTGCGCTTGCTTCATGCGAGTTTTGCGGCAGAAAGTGCCGTCGCTTTGCCACCACAATGTTCATGTGCGCTGCGAGGGTTAAGTATGGCGCTGACTGGCTGACCAGACCGAGATCCAATTGTGGCACGGTTGACCCCCCCCCCGGGCGGGGCTCACGGTCAACCGGGCGGGACCCGGTCGAACAGCCAACCGGGCAGGCTCCAGCCGACCGGGCGGATTCCACGGTCAACCCAGCACAAACCGTCTATCAACGCGACCTGGAAGCTAAAAACGTGTTGTTGCTGGATCACAAAATGGAACAACAGGGAGAATTGAGCGGAGCCCCCATCATAAACTTGAGGATCAATCAGGTCGCAAGAAAATGTCCGTGGCTGCTGGCTGCACCGTGGGATTTTGCGATCTGTTCGGTTTGCAGAGCCAGAAACTGTTGGCACCTCAGGCTGCTTCTGGACTCCACTGTTTCGGTTAGCCGGACAAGCTGGTAGGGAAAGGGCGCCCTTCTCTTGATCGACGATCTTTAGCGGAAGGGGGCGAGGTTGCTGATGAACTGGAAAATACATCAAGATCCGTTCCGACCACCATAGGGCTCAACTCGAAAGGTCGTTGTTCCTTTTCAGCATCAGATTTATCAGCTTTCGTTGTGTGCAAGTGGAGTCTCCAAAAGCTGAGGGGGTGGCCTCACTGGCACGGACTTTCCGATGTGTGTACCACCTATCAACACGATCCTATTCAAAAGAACGAAGTTCAGAAACTTGGAAGGTGCGGCAACTAAATAGAGTCATAGAGCCTCGACTAAAACCCAAAGTCAGGTTGGCAGACAGAGTGTGAGGATGGTAGAGAGCATGAATATGCTCCCTGCATCGCACAAAATGCACCTTGTGTGGCCATTTTGTAGCGTGCGAAATGGGGGGCGAAACGAAGCCTTGTGTGTTGCACGGGCTGCGCGGATGCCGGGACATTTGGACTCCGCGAGCCAAATTGTCGGAACCGAGCGGCTACGTATATTGCACTCTCGAAGTTGCAGGCTCTGTTGTGGCTTGGTTGGGCCCGCGCGCAGTGTTGCAACTTCTAATTGCTGTCTGCTGCCATGGCAACAGCACGATCATGCAGCTGGCAATGTTGCCAAATTCTCTACCGGTTTTTTGCCAATCAAATGCATCGCGCACTCCGCCTTCGTCGCCGCAATCTGGGCTGCTTCTTTTTGGTAAACACTGTGCGCTTGATCCTCGCTGGGCCTGCCACTTTTCTCTTGGCCCGCTTTGCTACCAGCCTCTCCACGCGCTGTGTCCGGCACGCTTTCGGACGATGCCACTGCCCTGGCACGCACAGTCTTGGCTTCATCGAGGGCATGCGCTGGTCGTCTTGCACCATCTCCATTGGCCAATGCTGGACCTCTTGCTCGCCAAATCTGCAGAAGAAGGAGGTAGAAATATAGCCGCGCAAGAGGCTCAGCAGGTCCGATTGGCCTCCCTGGGCCAGCGTAGTCGGGTAGGCCGCAGAATTGAAAATGCAAATCGCATCGGTGGAATGGCCTCATGATGCTGTTTTCGGCGGGCGGTTGATTTGGAAATGAAAGGGTTCATTCCCGTTGTACCCCACGCGGTGATCTAAATCTCTTCTTGGGAAAGCTGGCTTGCAATATGGTTTTCCTTGTGGAGGTGTGCCGCGTGCTTGAAAGCAGCCCTTGCCATCAACGTATGTTTGGCAGTGCGCTTGCGCGTCATGTCTGCAGAAAAGGTCAATGTGATGTCCAGAAGGTCATCCACATATTATTGGTGACTTTCCGAAGGGGGGCTGTTTGGCACATGATAGACAGGGCTTGGAGCTGGCTTTGAAAACTTGCCCTGCAGAAGCAGCGCTTCGGAGGATGCTGTGGTCCGCCTCTCGCCAAAGCAAGCCTCCAACTGAAGAACCAAAGCATCTTCCGCTACTAAAAAAGCATCCGTCTCCGGACAGTCAGAGTAAATCCACTTCGCGGATGGTCCGGCAGTGTCTGGCAGAATCTCCTAGCGGCGCGCCTGACAGTCCTTCAACGGCGCCTAGTTTGCCCAGAATGGTCGCGCTGAGCCATCTTCTCCTGGCCAATATGTGGCGTCATTGGCGTCATGGCTGACGACCTCCCACTCGCCTTTACAGGTTAGCAGATCGTTGTGGAGTTGTTTGACCGGCTGCATCTGCACTTCTGCCAAAAGGCGCTCGGAGGGCGAGCCTTGGCTCACAAAGTGCACCGTGAGCTCTTGAAAGACCGGCTGCGCCTTACCAACATGCTTCAAGGCAAGGCCAAGAAGAAGCGCAGTTGACCGTTTGCGCCGTGATGCTAAATTCATCCGTGCCGGGAGTAGCGGAAGACGCTCTACATCTGGTTCTTCGGTTGGAGGCTTGCTTTGGCTAGAGGCGGACTGCAGCATCCTCCGAAGTGCTGCTTTTGCAGCGCAAGTTTGCAAAACCAGCGCCAGGCCCTGTCTACCATGGGGGAGCAGCCCCTGAAGGCGAGGCCGAGCGGGATCCCTTGGTGGCTGAGATTCCCTTGGTTGTCAGCCCCCGTAAGGTGCCAAAGAACAACTATATTAGTTGCTATTGCCCTCCTGTCCACAAACGACTGAGGTTTGAAAGGAACCGTCTGGTGGGTTCCATACCAAAGCGGACAAGGGTTGCAAGGTGATGGCACGGGAAAATCTAAGGGATTTGTTGGAATGTTTGAGCCTGTGGGAAAGCATCCCCAGGACCGAGGGCCGACTTAGGTACACCCAGGGTGACTGATTCGCGGGAGCACCCCCGCAAAGGAGCTACAACTTTTAAGGGTCTGAGAACACACATGATTCTCCCATGCGACAATTTGGTTGAGCTGTGCCGCACATTCAAAATACCTAGCGCCTTCTAGCATGTTGGGAGGCCTCTTTCCCTGACATTGCATTTATACTGTAATCATTGCCTCCACCTCCCCAGTCTTCCGAGCCAACCAAAATGAATTTTGAGATTCCAGGGGTCACCCGCTCCTTGAATTCCATTTCAGTTGCGGTTGGGGCTCCACCTCCTCCCCTAGGTCCTCCAGTAGAGAGGTTAGAATAAAAGTACCCCTTTTTGCTGTAGGGGAACTCTCCCCAAAAAAAAGGTAAAGGGGACTACTGGGTGACATAGTCATTTTTGAGGGCTTCCCAGGTAGGGGCCACGTGCGCCCGTGGGACCCTGTTACCCACCGGCCACGGCGCCGAAGCGGGCGATCACCACGAAGCCCAGCACCAGCAGACGTCGGCGGCTGATCGACTCAAAGGCGCGGTTCCCCTGACGCGTCACGCCCCCCACGAGGGGGGGGGGGTGGGGGCCTCAAGTACTGGGCCTGCGACTTTGAATCTTGGTACGCTGAGGTTACAGGTTGCATGATGCGCGATTCTTGTGGCTCTCGAGAAGTATTTCTTTTGGTTGTCGCTTTCTTCCCAGGCTGTAACATGCAGGTCGGACCATTTGAGTAGTCCGCTGCTCCGAGCGGTCATTTGTGGAGAGTCCGGCGAAAAACAAACGGCTCAAGCTTGCTTCTTTCCGGCCTCAAACCTGTCGCCCGCAGCTGGGACGAGAACAGCAAGGGGGAGACAAAACGCGCCCTACAGGTCTGAGCTCACAAAGTGAGTGTCAGGGCCCTTTCCCCAATTCGCAACCAAACACATTTTTTGTTTCCGACCCCTGTGAATGCGTGGGCCCAATGCCTATTGAAAGAAGCAAGACATAGGAACGCTGGAAACCGGTTGGCCCCCACTCGCCAGGCGCATGCAACACAAACAAGGACATGTAGCGTGCAAGCAACACATCTGGACAAAACATTGATCCACCACCGAAAGCTTCAGCTTCATGGATTGGCCAACTCCCTCACCAACCTAAGCAACTCCAATCCAGTGAGAACTTCTTTGGCAAAAAGACAAGTCAAGTTTGCAGCGCGTGTCAAAGCTCATCTTTCCCCCAACATGCCCAATGGTCCAAAGAATTCACTCCATCCCTATGTTGTCGAGCGGTTGTTGGATTGTTAGGGCAACCACAAGGAGCCACAACCATGTGGCTGTGCTTCAAAACAGCAGTCGGAACCCCAAAACTGGAAGGTTTTCCCTTTGGCTTCCTTTAAAACAGGCAAGAGGATAGCAACTGAGCTCAAAAACCGACACACCCAACTGTCCAGTGACGTCCAAACCCCCCGCGCGAACCCCAGTTGTTCCCGCCTCCGCATCTTGGGACACCTCCGTGCGGCCGCGGGGCAGGCGCAAAATCGCCATCCCGAAGCTGGAGACGCTCTGCAGCTCCGTGGTGATGTGGCAGGCCTGATGGCCGCGTCGGACTTCTTCGTGCCCCGCTGTTGGGGGGCTGGAAGGAGAACCCACACGCTGCTGGACCCCCTCTTTCGACACAGACCCAAATGGGATTCAAGGGAAACCAAGAAACCAACAGGAAGACCCACATCTTGGTGGATCCCCCGTCCCAAATAAAACCCGGAACCACGACCCAAATGAGCTTCGGTTTCCTGGTCGTCTCCCCAACCAACAGCAAAACAAGGTCCCCGCAAAAAAAATGGCTTGGTGTATCTGTTTCTGTGGGGGTCCCCGCGTCCCTCTGCAAGGCATTCAAGCACTCAATCCAAAGCACTGTTCCCGGGGTACCGCTTACGCCAGCTCTTCTACATGCTCATGGGTTAAATACCAACAATCGGAGTTTGTAAGGCCGTACAGGGCAGTCCCCTGAGAAAGCCGTAGACAAGCTACCTCGAAAATCCATGTACACAATTTGATGGCTATATGAATAAGACACATCAAAACCTTTCCCGCCATGGGCGTTGGAATGCACAACAAGGGGGGCACGTGCCAGACGGGGACCCCTAGCTAAAGTTCTGGCCCGAATGCCCGCTACAATTGGGTGGGTCCCGAAAACCCTTGAAAGGGGCTGCAAAAGAATGCGCAGCCGAGGCGCCCAGATGGTGATCGCCATGGCACTCAGGACGACTCCCACCGTGAAGCCTGTGGAAAACAAAGATGCGCTGCGACCAAACTAACAACGAACTGCTAGAAACAAATCAAGCGCCTTACCAAGTGTGACTTCAATCGGTTATGGAATGAGTTTGCCGAGCAGCGTTGTGCCTGGCAACCCAAAGCCCTAGGGAAAGAGTTTCACATGTGCCAGGTGATGTTTAGGTGCTGTCTTTAAGGGAATTTGAGACACACGCTACAAAAAGAACAGGCCCCAATGGATCCAAGGACTCAACCAAATTGCTCGAGCAGAACCCCTGCCAAAGGTCAAGCGCAGGCCGATCCACCAAATCGCCTGTCCAAAGGTCGCGGAAAAAGAGGTCAACCTTGGGGGGCTGCCAAAAAGTAATAGTCCAAAACCCGCTGCAACCCCGTTTCCTTTGAGCAGCCGAGCAATACGTGAGAACTCGAGTCTAGCAAAACGAGAAACGGGACATCCTTCAAGCAACTTGGACACCAGGATTATTTAGCTACCTGACACTGAACCGCCGAAGAGCTTATCTTATTCCAAAGATTTGTCAATGTTTAGCAACTCGCTTGCCTAATCGACTGAAAGTCGGAGCGTCCGATAGCTACAAGGCCCCGCCCGAAGGACTTCACGAAAGTAGGCCCATAATTCTCCAAGAAGGGAACACAAAAAGGTCAGAAGGTCGTTTCACTTTGAGTTTGCCCCGAACCAGCGAACCAATCCGCCAAGGCCAGATCGGCCCTCTCAGGGAGCTTTTGATGCTCAAACCCTCAAGAGCACAGCACGTGGGGTTGAACGAGGGAAACCAACAGCTGTCATTTGGGCTGCTGGCGCGAGGAAGCCCAAAAGAATTTCAACCAAACCCATAACGTCGAAACAAAAGAAACGGGCCTGAGGAAACACATCCGCCAAGCGACTTCAGGTGCCCAGCTGCTTGTGCCAGCCATCAGCTCGTGAGCTTGCATCAATCACGGAAATAAATTTGACATGGCTCAAGAGGGAAACGCAAAGGAATCTCAGGCCCGTTGTGCGCAGCTGGTGGAAAGAAAGGCCACGTACAAACATTATAAGTGGTAGACTGAACAAAAAGCCGTTTTTGTTGACTTTAATGACCCCCAGATCCAGAACATCCCCTTATCGAACTGGAAATCATGAGGGCCCGAAACAATCTCAAAGAGCGTTATGTCAAGCAGGGCTGCTGAATACATGCGATTCTTGCCTTCCAGATTTCGGGCATGGAAATCACAGACCAAAATGCATCTTGCCATGGCTGTTGCCGATACATTGTTCATCTTGTTTTTTGCGGGCTCCTCCTGTTTCCCATTGGAACATCACACCAGAAGGGAAGCCTGTTTAGAAAGGTCTGCCAAGCAGAGCACTTCACAACAGACCCACCCTGTTAGGCAAGGGCTTTCTCCATGTACTGTTCACAGCAACGTGGCAACCAAACGGTGATAAATAGGGCAACCACTCAAACATGGGGAAAACAAGGAGGAACTCAATTACATTGCCAGAGGTGGTGATGTTTCTTTTAGAACCACGCAACAATTCGGAAAACCTCAGCAAAGCCTATTCTGCATCACTCGCACATCCCTCCCGCAAGTTTGCGCCTGTGCCGTCGTTCGAGCCAGTCGGAAAGACTGGTGTCAAATAGGCGTTGATCTCGCTGATGAGCCTGAGTCTGCGACCTCCATTTGCTAGAAAGAAAGAACCATATTTCCAGTAGCCCTAGATTCCCATTAAACTCAACGGGGGTAAAATCACATTCTTACCCCGAAAGTATTCGAAACCGAATGGGCTGGCCGGGTTCTGAGACGATGGGGTGAAGGTGCTAGAGTCCCCGTGAGGGTGCCTTCCCGGGGAGAAACAGAAAACACCCCGGGGGGTTTCTTGCTGTGTCAGTCTCCTCGAAAACGTGACATACTTGAGAAAGGGCAGACCGAAAGCTGGCAGGCAGTCCAGCTCCCCCAGCCGAGCAAAAGCGCCCAGGCGTGAAGTCTTCCCAGTCTTCCAGTTGCAGACTTGGAGGTTTGAGTCAAACGACCAATGCCATGACGATAGGTAACATAGGCATCCTTTTCCTTCGGGCTGTGACCCGGACAAAAGGTCCAACAGGTGTGGCTATCATGACCAAATGATTGACACAGCCGGGCAAACGGCTTAGTTCGCCCTTGGCAAGTGAGCTCGGGCACAGGAAGCCAACCAACACAATACGGAAGGGTACAAAAACACCAAGGCAAGGCGTATGCAACATGGTTCCGGTGACGCCGCTGTAACATGCCCCCCCGCCTTTGCTCGCAACGGATCGAAACGATCCAATGGGCTCACATCCAAAAAGAGAGGCTCCAACTTCTAAGTCCCGTGACCCTGGAGAAGAAAGTGACCGTTTTGGGGGGGAGAATAGCTGCGGTTTTCCTTTATTGGCTTTCCTTTCAAGCCACCAAACAAGAAAAAAGGTGTACCCATTTACGGCTGAGGAGCGCATTGTTCCACCACTCCCGCTCAAAGGGTCTGCCCTGGCAGACCTTACTCACGAGGGAGGCACCTGGCGGCGAAACCTATGGGTTTCGCGACTCGAAACCCATTGACGTTTGCTTCTACAGAAATTGGTGCCTTTTTAGGGGAACCCCTCAAAAATGGTGGTTGTCCTTTTGGTTTCCCTTTGAACCCGCAATAAATGGTACCCTAGAAAAGAAGAGTGCATAAAATGTGTTCTATTAATTATGAATATAAAGTCTACTGTACACATATATATATATATATGTATATATTTATTTACATACACATACCATGTCTAATAGGTCTTGACATAATTAGCAAGTGTGATAATATGTTACATACAGTATTCGGTATCGAATCGATTTAGTAATATAATACAAATATCATAGAAATACCAACCGTCTGCCCACTTACTAACCCAGCAAACTAACTTTCGGAGCGGTCACCGCTACCGCTGGGTACCCTGGTCTTTCCCAAGCGAAACTGTGAGTTCCAAGGATTTAAGCCCGGAAGGTCCTTGATGACTAGTTTGGGAAATCCGGATCAATAAACCCCTGCTTGATTCGCTTGATTCATACGGGATCTTTGCGTTTTAGTGGGGATTCATCAACTTTTGGAGGGGACCAACCACCTATTGAAAAAGCGGTTTGTGAATCCATCACGTTCAGTGATTGGGTCGGGGTAATGGACAACTTATCCTCACCCCGATCTAGGTCCAACGCCGAGGCCCTGCGAAACACATCCTGTGCGTTTTGCGCTGCTCGCGCGCAACTGACAGTTTTCAACTTGCAACGAGGGCTTCGTAAAATCAGACTCGTTCCGAGCACGCGTGAACTTATCAGATCCCACGCAATGCAGATGCTGATCGGACAGCATGAAGTTCAAGGCAACAAGTTTCAGTGCAGCGAGGCCCAAATGCGCAGAGTTGCAGATGCATCTGTCTGCACCAAATTGTTCGCATCTGAAGTTTAGCTTGCGGCTTCTGCCACTCTACTATTTGATCGCTCGCGCGATGTTGGACTTTGCATAGCATAAATCAACAAAATATCCCCCAGGCAAAGCGATACAGGCCTGAGCACTTGCTTTAGGGCGTCGACACCTGACAAGTCTTGTGCTACTTGTTTGATTTTACACAGGGGCCTGGGGGACGTTTGGGCGATCATGGAGGCTGACAGGAGGGCTCAGGAACACCACTTTCCTTTCGGGGTACCCCCCTTATGCATGCACACTCCCAACACAGGGCAGCGAGTGGCCTCGGTTGACTTTGATCAGGGCGTGTCCCTTTGTAGCAAAAGGGGTCATCCCTATGGAGAGAACACCCTAACATGGGTTCTACTTAGATCCGGGGTCAACCCAGCGGGGTTGGGAAATCAATCCTCTCAAACCTCACGCCTGAGATGTCAGATCCAAGGCCTGAGGTGTGGTCGAAGAAGCTCACGCTGTGGCCATAGAGGATGCGCCACTCCTTCAAGTACTGGATGTCGTATTTGGCGTCCCCGGACTGAGCTCGCATGAAGATTTAGAAAGCAGACTCTGTGTTCATCCCGGGCTGGGCCACAGACTTGGTCCTGCAAAAAGTTAGAATCAATGCATCCTGCCAAGACACGTATCGTGCTCAAACAAACAATGTGCATACTAAAGCAAAGGGAGACATTCCCAAGCTGCCACTTTGCCGAGCCTCCAAACCAATTCTCTGAGCTGCCCTTGTCGGGGGCCCCTCCCCACAGCCTGAAGAAATTTAGCTCACGGATGCCACGCACCGGGGTGGACTCGTTGAGCAGGCCCTAGACCGGAAAACATGTTCGGCTAGAGATTCCGTATTTGGGGGAAGCGGATTGAGCCCAGCCAGCGGGACCCCAACTATGTCACACACCCCTAGTCTTGACATCCCAACATAAGCAGTCGCAAGATGTCAGAAGCGCGGAAAACTGAACTCGGGCCCAGTTTTACAGCTCACCAGGCTAAATGAATGGGTTTGTGTTTCTGTTTGTGGTTGCTTTACGTGGAAACAAAGGGAACACAGCCATGTTTGGCGCACCAAGTTTGCCCATATGCACGCCTGGGAGTGCGCCGCCTCAACACGAACCGCAAGGGTGCTGAGTCACCGGCTCTTGACATTTGCCCCGGTGGGAGGTAACGAACTCGTGAAAAGTGCCAGGACCTCGCAAGCCCATCTTGTTAATATGTTTTTTTTCTTTTTGAATGCCCTTCTGTTGTTTTTTTGGGCGGCGAAAAGGGAAACCACAGCAAAAAGGGAAACCACAGCATTTTTGAGACTCTCCCCATGTTGAGTGAGAGTCACATGGCTTGCCACCCCCCATGAATCGGTATTCGCCGGTACCCCCAATTTCGCCGAGCCGCCAGGAAGGACGTGACGACGATCCAGCAGAAGAGCAGTTGAAGCCAGAAGCTCACCTAGCAACTCCCCAAACGCCTTCCCCACTGCAGCACTCAGCGAGACACGGGCCCAAGCGCTGCGTCGAGCCCAGGCGCTTGCACATGATGACATGGCTGAAAGTCTTGGACATGAATTCAATAGGAAGCTTTATCAAGAGTGGTTGGCCGACACAAACCCCTATATACCATAGTCACCCCCCTCAAGAGTGGTGGACATAAACCTGCATATACCTACATTCTTCCATGGTGTCCGCAAAGAGGTCCGCAGTCAAAATCCATACCCGCTGGAGACACGGAGTGATCTAGTCGAAGGCGCAGCCACCCCAAAGGCGATCATCACGGAGCCCGCCAGACCGATGTCCGGTAGTCCTGGCCGTCAACGGCCGTCTCGGGGGGTGCCAACGGTGCCAACCCCGGACGCGGGTTGGTTATCTTTTGGAAAACCCACGTTTCCGTTTGGGTTGCATGCGGTCATGCCTCAGCATTGACCTGACTCTTGCAAGAAAACCCACTGCCAACAAGGCCGTTCGCACCCCAAGGACTTTTTGCCAAAGGCCGTGCGCAACAATCAGGGGATGGTGAGCTGGCCACCCGAGGGACTCTCAAGGGCTGGTTTTTGGCAAGATGCATGGGATGAAAATGACCCCTGCATGATGGGTTCATATTTGATATTTGCATCTGCATTCAAGTTCTGTGGGTTGACATGCCCAAACGGCAATTTATGGTTTTGACAGCTTTTAAACGAAACAGCTCGCAAAAGGGGCTCGATCTCACCATGGCCCATGGGGCCATGTGATGTTTTTACATCCTCACATGCAAGTCATGAGGCCCCTCCAATAGTTGTACGCGCTTGTCCGGTCATCGACAAAGGGACACGGGGGGACTGTTGCCCCCTCCCCCCCCCATGTGATTGGTGCCTTCCATAGAACCAGCCAAGGGGTCCAATATGATAGGTTTATGGGTGCATGTAACCAGCCTTTGGCAGACGTGTGCGAATGGAACTGTGCGCTTCATGCCCTAAAACGTTCTGCAAAAGATTTTCCACCAAGTTAGACGCACACGCCAGATTTCAGAACCAAGTAAGCTAAGCCTAAACTGAGGGTCAATTGGGTGTCTGTTTGCCCCCCCCCCCAAAAAAAAAAAAGAAGATATATATGTCAGGACCCCTGTCAGGCGCTCCATCCAAGCCCCCCAATAGCATCTCACTAGGTTGTGGCAACAAAACCCTGCGAATTACCCTTCCGTGACACAGTTTAGTCATCCCAAGACAAAATTGGCGCTGGCACCCAAGTGGCAACCCTTTTACTGTCAACCCCAAAAACGGGAAATCTGGGTGTCTTCGTGGGGCGCACCCCCCACCCCCCCTGAACAACAAAACGGGTTCTCCTGTTGGCTTTCCTTTGAAGTCCCGCAAAAAAAAAATGGGCATCCTCAGAACAGTTCTTGCGGTGGCCGTCCGTCCTGCCAGCAGCATGGCGTCCCAAAAGGAGGCCTGCAACGTGGTCGAGGAGTGCGTGTTCAGCAAGCCATTCATGGAGGCGGTGGGACCCATGGCCTCCTCCTTGTACCTCGGGAAAGGGGACCGTCGGACCAGCTGGGTGGAAACAGACAGCTCCCTTCCCTTTCCGAGTGGACTGGCCCAAACAAGTCGCCAAACGTTTGAGGATGAAACAGATCTCAGGAACTCCCTTTGCCCAGCTCGTTCTCGTCGGAGACCCCACAACTAGTGTTAGCCTCTGGAAAGTGACCTTCGCAAGAGCCTGACGCAGGGCTGTGCACCCGAACATCTTTTTGGACCCATAAACCCAAACCGACGACTGGTTTGGTGTTAGGTGCCTGGTGATGCCCATGCCCTGCGCTCATTGGGAGCGCCGGTGGTTTATGAGCCTAGCAAAAGGAGGCAAACATAAATGACGAAAATGATAAATAACTAGAATAATCACCCCAAAACTGCACATTGATGCCTTCATATGACAACATGTTGACAACAAGCCCAACCAAAATACCCCCACAAATACACATTGTTAGCATAGGTGCCCTTTTTGGGAAACTAGATGGCCGTGGTAGTTGATTGAACCGCCAGGAGAGAAAAAAGACCAGGGCCCTCTATTTTTCGACCAAAGCAACTCAAAAAGGACACCTATGATTGCTAGAGGAACCTCTTGGGTGAGTACACGGATGACATGGGAAGCCGCAGCTGGGCCCCCCGGCACGAAGCCCGCATGCCCCGCCTCACAGCGGGCGGAAGGCGAGTCCTTGGTTCGGCGAAACCCGGAGGAAACCACAAGAAGCCCAACAGCAACAGGGTTGCTTAAAGGATGCATCCAAACACCACCTGCTGTACAAGGGGTCCTCCAAATCAGCTGGTAAAAGGTGATTGTGTATAGAACTTGCTTCAAATATCCTTGAAGCCTTTAACGCCCTGAAGGGACCCTGAGCCGCTGCTTGACTTTTCGACCGCTGAAAAAAAGCGGTCGAAGCCGCAGTGCCCGTAAAGACGAACTAGTGGAATTTCGGCCATGGGCCCGAATTCATTGGACCAGCTCCAGTGCGTCACCCACAGCCGGATCTTTTTCTCAGGCGTTTCACTCCTTTTCACTCTCTCGCCCTCTCTCGTTCCAAGCTGTCACACTGCCCTCCTGGCTTCCGTGCCATCTGAGTTGCCCAAAGGACCCAGAAATAGGCGGCTAACCTTTGGGCGCCTTGACCCACATTTAAATGAAACGGGAAACCAAAAGGATAAAGGTCGGCTTTGGGCAAGTGAGACGTCCAAAACAGGGGCACTGTCTTCCTGGAGTAGGGTAAGGCCAACCCCTTTTCGCCAGGCATGAGGGCATGAGCCTTCACTCTGCCGCTCCCTTGAAAAGGAAACCGAAAGGAAACCAACAAGAACCCAAGAAAATCCACACAACAAAAGAGAGTGCCTCTTTGTGGTTTTTATGCATACCGAGATGCCTTGGCTTTCCATTGTTGAGGAGGGCTGTGGTTGTTTGGGGGGGCGTCAGATGGATTGGGCTTTTCAGAGAAAAGCAGCGCAGAAGCGAACAAGACACATCCACATGTAGAAGGTTGGGACATCCCTGACATGGAACTCAACAAGCCTACAATCTCAAGACTCATAGCGGATTCATTGCCGGGTGGCCGACCGAACCTCCAGGTGCGGTGACATGACCTCCGGATAGGAGAGTCCCCTTTTGATTGGTGTCCACTGAAGTGACATCCAACTCTCAGTTCCTCAAAGGACCCGGGCCACGACAAAAAAAACACTGGACTGAAAAGGGGAGACCACCAGGTTCAAAGGTCGATTCGCTTGGACAAGTAAACCAAGTCCAGGAGCTCAGGAAGTGAAGATTCCCCCCTGAGTGGTGGTTTGAGGGACACCACCCCCAGTACATTTGAGACCGAGACAAATCTGCTTCAGGGACCCCGCTTTGAGGTGCCCCAAGGCCTTCGGTGGATGGGCCTTTGCCTCTTTTGGGGAAGCCCCCTTTTCGTCTTCAAGACACCGGGGCTCCCTACACTTCCCCCTAGAAAATCACGCCTACCAAGGGAAACCCAAGCAAAATTCATCTTCAGAGGCAACAGCTGATGCTTAAAACCAACAAAAAAAAGGAAGCATAGGGATAGGGACCCCGAGAAAAAACTCAAGAGTGGTTCACTGACAACATGCAAACCACAATGCCCCGCACTTTCCTGGCCAAGCGGTGCGTGAACAATTCAGGGGGCTCGGCTCACAGCCCCTTCCCCCAAACTCCCCAAAACAGGTTTTCCAAAACCACGTCAACGAGAAACTGGGCCCATGCTCTGTCAACCACATAAACCAACACATGCCGCGCCCACAAGCCAACAAAACACAAACGACGCCAGCCCGCCCGCCCGGACCGCCCGCCCGCCAGCCAACCGGCGCGCCTCCGGCTTCTCGAGGGCCCGTACCCGTTCTTTTAAAAGCTGCCTTGGGCAGGCCCGAGGCGCGGGTGGCCCACATGGGACAACCAGGGAGTACGGCTGTGTGCGTGTGGTTCTGGGAAGCCCCCTTTGGCTAAATGCTTGGCGGATGGTTGGGCAATGGTTGGGACGCGTTGGAGAAGCCACGAATCAAGCGAGAGGCCACAAAGTAGTTGTTAGAAATAGGAGGGGCCACGGTCTACAGTTACACATCGTGGCCCCATGGCCTGCCTGAAACCATCGGGGTCGGGAACACCAGCCATGGATGTATCCGGCATCATTTTGCCGTGTGATTCATTGGTGGCTTGGACGGGTGCGTGGATTTGAGCCCCAGTTCCTCCAGACCTAGGGGGAATACACCCTCGGACATGCCAAGCACCAAACCTCCAACCGACTTGGTAGGATGGAGCCACTCTTGCCGTGGCAAGGTCCCTTCGGGGCGTGTCTCCCGGAAACAGGACCGATATCAGTTGCGAGGGCAATAATTCGCACACACACACACACACGCACGCACGCACGCACGCACGCACGCACCCGCACCCGCACCCGCACCCGCACCCGCACCCGCACCCGCACCCACACACACACACACACACACACACAGACACACACACACACACACACACACACACACACACACACACACACACACACACACACACACACACACACACACACACACACACACACACACACACACACACACACACACACACACACACACACACACACACACACACACACACACACACACACACACACACACACACACACACACACACACACGTCAATTTAGAGATCACCACAAAGCTGGAGCTTGCAGCAGTTACCCCACAAATAAAGGGACACCCAGGAAAAGGATCTACATCATGGTAAGCCAGATTTGTGAGGTCACCACAAAAACGTCAATACATTACTTGAGTGGGGATTTTGCTATTCTCACTGGTTCTTGGGTCTCTTGTAACTTCTAACTGCGACATCACTCTAAGTGTCCATCATACTGTGTGCACGCCTGTTCGGCGGGTTTTAAGTGACACACCGAAAGGACACCATCATTTTCGGGAGAGGGGGCCTAAAAACAAAGAAAAGATCTGCACCATTGATAGCACCGGCCGGGGCGCAGCTCTTTCTGGAGCGCTGCTGTCTCGCTGGCTGCCTGGCCCATGGCCCGAAGGCAAGCGAAATGGCGGTGCTTGGTCCTTCTCAAGCGGATTGGGCAAAGTCCGATCTCTCTTTGCCACATGGCCATGGGTGAAAATCCCATACCCCCAGTGAACATCCCAACTAAAATAGACTAAAATGGGTGGTGCACCTACCCCGAAATGGTACCATTGGTTTGGACCCACGGCCACATTTCAGGACCCCCCCCCCGCGCAACGGTTCTCCTTTTGGGCCCCTTCTCAAAACCACACACCACTGTGCCCATGTGACCTTTCCTAAAAGTTTGTCACCTGCACAAAACCACACGCAACACGGGCTATCAGCTAGAGAAAGATTCGCAGAGCTTCCTGGCCAGCGCTTTTTGCACGGGACCTTGCCGTGCTCAACCCTGGCCTCTTCCGCCTGGGAAAAAAAGGTCACCATAAGCACATGGGTGTCTGTTTTTAGGGCCCCCCCAACAAAAATTGTGGCTTTCCTCTTGGTTTCCCCTTAAAACCACCTAAGTACCCTCCAAAAAACGAGAAGCACATGACTCCCTCAGAAGCGAAGGGGTTGGGTCTCAGGCTCCTCGTGCTTTGTTGAAGGCATGGTCGTTGCTGGAGGCATTGGTCCGTGCGTTGTCTTGCTGCATACGTGTTTGTTTTTTTAGTATGGCGGTTGCGCACCGCCTGCAGTTCTGCAGTCTATTTCAATTGTCCTGGCAGGGTTGACAATCCACAATCTCAAGCAGCTATGTAGCACTTCGGGCTGGCCTGCAGGCTGCACCAACTTTGTATAACACAGAGCGTTGGCGGCTGCCGTGGCCACATTTGGTCACGACATGTTCGCGTCAACAAAACATAGGCAAATGCAAATCATCACAAATAGGAATGAGCAGCGCCCAAATTCTGGTAACGTTGGGTTCTAATGTACGCAATGAGAGCCATGCCGAACCCCCGCTTGACAACCAAATCGGATGGCCCGGCCTTTCCCCGGTATAGGACCCCACAAAATGGCAAAGGGTGCTGGGTACGCGTGGGTACGGCCCAAGTTTCAAGCGGTTTTTACGACCCCTCAAACCCCACCCCTGGGGGTTCAATCAGATACACTTCCAATACATATATATATATACATGTGTGTATATATCAGTATTGTAGAAAGGGTATGCTCCACATCGTACACCTTCTCATGTCCAACTTACGCACATGAACATACCCCACGTACTAGCCGTAGATGTGCTTCGGGGAACCCCGAATGGCCCCCGGCATAGCGTCAGGGATTTCTGGCAGCACGGCACACAGAGATCAAATTCAAGCGGCTGCCTCCTCCACCTTGGCGAGGCGTCTCGCCAACTCCTCCATTGCCTCAGGCTTCGGGAGACCCTCCCACAGGTGTCCATCTTTTTGGAAACCAGATGGCGCTGGTAGGAAAAGGAAACAACCAAGTCAACCGGGAATTGCCAGCTACGTTCTATCAAAACAACCAGAAACGACACTTATGGCCCTCCCAGAAATGGGCCCTTTCAGCTTGGAGGTCGGATGTTTCCGACAGGAAACTGATGGAATGCCAACCTGAGTTCCTTCGGGAGTGTTGATTTGGATGGCAAATTTCAAAGAGACGCCCTCCCAACAAGGAAAAAGGGATGGGAGTCTGTTTGGGGTCAAGCAACTAAAGCAAAGCTGATGCAAGCAAAGTGTGCAAAACGCAGCCATTTCACCACTGCGTCACTCTTTGAGCGCTGGGCGGTTTTCTGGCGGCACCACAAGGCACGCGGCTGGGAAAGCAGCGGTTCAGGGCGCGAGCCAGCTGAACGGCGAGAGAGAAATGACATGAGCTACGTGGCCTTGAATGGTTTGGTTTGGTGGTTTGTTTGGACATTAAGGGAGTATGTTCCTAATTTTTGGCCCTAAAAAGGAAGGGTTCAGAACACCAATCCAAACTAAACCACAAATTGAAGGTACCTGACAAGGTCATTCACCTTTGCCCTTACTGCACGTGGTGTTTTGGCTTGGTGGCTGGAGTTGAATCATTGGGTCCTAGCCATCCAAACCTATGGAGCATCTGACTCATGTTCCCCAACGCCAGGCAAGAGAATCATCCGACTTCACCCCTCCATTTGGGTTCGTTCGACAGGTCCTGGTGTTCAACGGCCCTGTTTACAAAGGGCAGCAAAGGGTCGGGGCTAGGCAAAGTCAAGCAAACCGCTCAGCAACTTTGAGGCAGTCGGGCAAAGCCAACCCAAACTTGCCGTACTCATTCTCGTGGCATGGTGGCACTACCTCAATGCCTATTCTCCGAAGCTTCCAGGGTACAGGGCTCCCTATAGTTCCCCTTAAAACATCACCCCCACCAAGGAACACTCACCTTTCATGGGCCAAAAAGGTGATGTTTAAAACCGCCCGAAATGGAAATATAGGGACCTTTGAGGTATTACTCTAACGAAGCTTAGAGGGTGCGCAAAAGTCCCCAACTTGATGCCTTAGCCATTCGACAGTCGTGCGGCGTTTGGGGTACTATCCAATTGATTCCAGTCTTCCCAAAAGGGAAAATGGAACCATCAAATCACAATTTCAGCTGCCCAAAGGTCCCAGCAAGAAAAATCAACTTGTGAAACCTTTACAAAATATGGACCGAAAAGGGAAAACCAAAAGGTTAAAAGGCTGGCTTTGGGCAAATGAGCAATGAAATTCCAGTAGCTGGCACCTCCGCCCCCACCATTGCGGGATCTTCCTTGCCCGCCCGCACCTGGGATGTCCGAGCCAGAGATGCCGGCATCCTACGAGCGAACGCTAAGGCCGCAAATCCATGTAAGGCTTCCACGGCAAACTGGATGGCCCCGAAAGCTTCTCCCCCCTCCCAGAGGAAAAAACAAAAGAAGAAAAGGGAAGCATTCTCAAATCCATGGGCACTTGTCAGTCGCAGGGAAAGGGTGTAGCTAGTGACGATCAAAGCGCCACAGCGGCTTCAGGAACTCGCTGATTTCCAGGGGTCAGGCATGCTGTCAACGTCAATCATCAACCCCACGGACACCCAGGGATGGGCGCACAAAAAAAGATGCGGGATCGCCTTCCTGGTCTAATCATCCCCATGGTCACATCTAGGCCTTGCCCGCCCAATTCTTGCTGATGTGCCTCAACGAAAAAACGCCTTGACGCGTGGACAAGCCAAGTCTCCCAAGAAACCAAACGTTGCTATCCAGGTTGCAGGAGTCCATCTAAAACATTCTGGGCATCATGTTGACCAAGGGGAGGCAAATTCTCTGATGACTCGTGGATCCATCAAGCTCATGCAGAGCAGATTCGTTGATTCGTTGCGCCACACGTGTCTATGTCTCGTCCATCTATTGCAAGTAGCAACTTCTCAAAGCCGCACGGAACATTCGCAACAAAATGACCATGGCACGAGTCAACAAACAAAACAACCGGAGAAGGACAATACATCTTCAGCCGACGAACTGAACTTGGCCAAGTCCAGCCAGAAATGGCTAAGACGAGGCTGTTGGCTCGAGCATCCAGACCCAGGGTCGACAGTTCTCTCTGGCCAACGTTGCTCCCCGAGCAACACGCATTTCGGGAAAACGAGAATCGTCATGACTCAGTGACTATTTAAGGGGGAAGACGAACCCACGAAGCCCCTCTTCGGCATCTTGTCTTCTTTGACACCCTCCCCAACCCCCCAAGCAGCACAACTCAACAGCCCAACCCCCCAACCGGCCGGGCTCAACCGCCGCTCCTCGAGGGACCTGTAGAGGGCCACCAGGAGTTGGGCGGGGTCCGTCTTGATCAGCTCCAGCTGGCTCATCACGTAGTCGCCTGAAGACCAGGGGGCCATGGCTCCGAAAAGGGAGTGACAGGGGATCCGTGGAGGCGTTTAAAGGGGAAAACTGGGGCTGGGAAGTAAGGGGAGTGATCCCCAAGTTCTGTTCTTTGGTCGTTGACTTTAAACGGAACCCCCTCCAAAAGGGATTTACCCCCTTACAAACAACATGGAACCCACACAATCGCCAATTGTAGAGGAAACTCCTTTGGGGGCACCTTCCCCCTGTTGCGTGCCATGTGATTTTGTCGGGGGTAAGGTGGGCGACATGATCTCAACATGTCCGGAGAACAGAAAAAAAAAGAACGTCTGAGTGCCAGGCGCCCATGTCGAAGGAGTTTTGTAGAAGAACGGCCATGCATGTATCCTAGGGCCCCCCCCCCCGTGGGATGGCGGATTCCCAGAGAGGAACCTCAAAAGACCTCGGGTTTTCGAGGCGCAAGGTCACACAACGTACAACGCCATTGGGATGGTAGGACCTTGGCCATGGCCCAAAAGCAAGGCACCCGAATGCATAGCCTTCAAAACATGACTTGGTTGACGTTGCAAGGGGAGCAAAAATTTAAATTCTAGCAGATACGTGGGGATTTCCCACTAAGCCACAATAAGCAAAAATGCAAAATGTTTCCCAACGACAACCATGATGATTGCTTAATGACATTCACCGGCAACAAGTTGTTTTGCAGAGCCGAAGCCAACCTCTCGCAGCACGAGATCCCAATATCTCAGGCGTGGCGCGGACCAGGTTGGTGCGGCAGGTGATGCTTACCACCAGGTGGATGGAGCTGCTGTCCCCGGGCCAGGTCACCTCAGGCTCTGTCCTCAGGGAATGGCGAAGGCTTTGGTGGATCCAAAGTGGCAGAACCTGAAGCAAGCAGACCATGAACCCCTGAAAAGAGAGACGTAAATTCCAATGTCACAGAACAGGCAGCGCTGGTTGACACACACATGCTTGAACTTGCGCTGGTCTTTGGCAGCCCGGGAAGCCGCAGAACGGAAGAACTTGCACACGGGAGATTTCAAACACTCAGAAGACGTCTTGAAGGCGTTTTTTGAAGCAAAGGCGCTAAGCGCTGGAAGAGGTCAAGGGGAGCCACGTACATGCAAAATCTTGAGGCCTTCCATCACTACAAGTCTTCATAGGGGTTGGCACCGGTCAAGCATGGCGCCGTCTGAGAATGGAACGCTTACACATGCACCGTTCTCGCTTGCAAATGCCGGACCTGGAAACAAAATGCTTCGCCTTTGGGAACTCAGACTATGTGAAAGCCGGAAGGCCTTCCACGGCTTCGGGCAAGTGAGACATGGCACTGGATCCCTGGGTGAAGCCGACTGGCATAGCAACTTAAGCCCTGGAATGAATCGGATTTTGCGAGATGTTGAAATTGCGTTGAAAAAGAGAAAGCACTTCGGAACCCCCCGTGCTTCTTTGGGCCGTTTTGTACATAACAAGAAGCCAAGCGAAGCCTTTCGAGCCTGTAATGCGCCAGAGGCCCCAGGATTTGCTGCAAAACTCCACCTGCAACGCCTCCCCATCGCCGCCCTCCGCAACGTGAAACCCCCATTGATCCTTACGAACAGAGGGCCTTACTCAGCTTCGAAAACCTCGGTTTGCCTAACCCCCCCCCCCCCCCCGGAAAAACATGGTTGCCAATAATGGTCAATTCTCTTAAAAACCAACAAAGGAACACTAAAACAACCTATTCTCAAATGGAAGAACATGCATGAGGGACAAAACTCCAGGTGCAAATAGTGTCCACCAGTCGGCGCCTTTCTCGGGTTTTAGCTGCACTTCCCACCCACGCTGCTGGCTCCCCCGCTCTGATCCCAGCGGCGTGGTGGCGGCGGCTGGCGCAGGCGTGGTGATGACGCTGGTGGTCTGTGCCACGCAAAGGCCGCAGGTCTGCTGGCAGCCCGCCAAGACCTGAGCGACTCCACTGCGAGCGGGGTTCAGGCATAGGTGTCCTTTTTGGGACAATAGATGGCAACCAGTGCCATCTATTTCTATCCAAAATAACCTAACTCGAAACCGGTGGTTTCATGTCAGGGTCCTGGGCCCAACAACTCACTTCCTGAGTGGATTGACCAAAAACGTCAACACTTTCTGTTCGCCACTGAAATGGTCTTCCCAAAAAGTATGAAGTCCAGGAACTCAGGAATAAGACAAAGGTTTGCGGGCTTTGACAAATACCACGTGCCGAGACAAAACAAGGTGTGTAGACATGTATCAAACATTTGATGCCTCTTCGCGTTCTTACCTTCACACCGAGATCAGGTCTTGCCCACTTGCTTCAACATGCTCAGACCACGATTGCTTAAGCATCATCTTACTTGCCCAAAAGTTAACCTTGGGGTCTTGACTTCGAACGCCTAAAAACAAAAGTTGGCCAGTCTGGCATATCCAATGCCTCCGCAGCAACCTTCACCGGAAAAAGACCTAGACCTGGAATATGTATTAGTTCTGCGTTAACCAGGCCTTTGGTTGGCCAGGTACTCCCAGAGTTCTCTCCTGTGGGTTATCTTGGCTTGGGCTCAACCTGCTGCAGCTGCAAGATCTGCCCCTTTTTTGCCGCGCGGGGGCGAGAGAACTTCGGAAGTCTTGCCATTTGAGCGGGGGCGAGAGCCTCAGGCCAGCTCGAGCACGGGCAACAAAGCTGCCACGTCCTGGCTGGTTCACATTGGGTTTCGGTTCCAAAATCTCAGGTGCCCAAAAGGCCTTGGAAGAAGATTACCTCGTGTTAGGTTGATTTCCCAGGCCCTGGAACCTGTTGAGGTGCTCCAAACATTTTCATCTTTTGCGCCAGCATCTCTATCCCCTAACTTGCTGGTGCTCAGTAGGGAATGTGGGAATGAACCCAACAATTCCCTCAAATGAAACCAACCGGGGATGGTTTATGAGGATCATTCCATTTCTCTGTCCCTGCGTCTCTCGCACCAAGCCAAACCACCCAAAACCGAACCGAAACGAGATGCGTCCTTCTCAAAGTCCAACTCGCTGGCATCGTCCACCACCACATCGGCGTCGCCGAAGAGCTCCTGACACACGGCGCCGAGAAAAAAGAGAGAAAAGAGTGGGTGGTTCGTGGGGTTTGGCCTGGGGGTCTCATAAAAAAACGGCTGGGGCTTGAAGCCAAGTAAGTGGTGTTGTTTGCTTTTATAATTATGATTAATATTATTATATCTTTGTTGCTATTAGTTGTGCTTTTCTTTTTTTGGGGAAGGGAGGAGGGGGGGAGGGGGCTAAACAAGCATGTTGCTTGACAACAGTTGAAACCAATTGGTGAAAGGGGCTGTCTCAAAGGGTAACTAAAGCAAGTGGAGGTCAAAGGATAAAGAAGCCAGCAAATTTCAAGTTTGCCAACTCAGCATGTCAGTGAGAGTGATTCTTTGACAACAATGAGAAGTCCGGCCTGTCTCATTCGGTGTGCAAAACGGATCGAAGTGTTGACCTTTTGCTTTTCTCATTTCGACCCATTTCAGTTAACGTCCCAAAAGTGGTCAACATATGTTTAACCATATATTATATATATATGAATATGTCATATGTATATACTAATGTAAATATACATGCATACAACAATATGTATGTTGCATACATAAACAGGTCCCTTCCAGTTTCCAGTGAGAGTGACCGCACCCCTGCAAGTACACCAGCCACACTCGGCGAAAAACCAATGGCAAATTACAGCCGGGTGCCTCTCAAAATTGGAGGTTCCTCCAGGCTGCTTCCCACAAAACAGGGAGAAAGTTGCCCACTTGACAATCCAGGGGGCCAATTTTATGGGAGGTGGTCCCCGGTGATAATGCCCGAATTGAAGCCTGTCCAGGGGGTTGTGCTTTTCACACCCTTCTGGGAAAAAACAACTTTTAGGGGGGGCAGATCAGTGCCCTCTTGAATGCAAGAATTGCAGTGGACAAGGGGCTTCCCTTAAAGGCAAGTAGAGCAAGTGGTCTCGCACACACACACACACACCTTCCTGTGAGCTTCCATGGAGGGAGGGCATACCGCCCGAGAAAAAGACATCCAAGAAACTGACCTTGGCTCACGCGCGCCTTTTCCAGAGACAAAACTCGGACCAGCTCGCCTTGCAACACGGGAGCCAAACTCGGAGCCCAATGAGGGCAACACCTCACATCCCCCACGACTCCGGGAAAGGTTCTGTAGAGCCTTCTTCGGGCTTGTTATAGCCGGCGGTCCTTAGCACTGTAGACGCTCTTCGTGATCACCACCTGGCACACTATCAAGGGCATACCAGCCGAAAGAATGAGGCAAAACTATAACCGCTAGGGAAATCGGACTGGATGCAGCTAGCCAACTTGCAGCAAGCAAAATACTGGCCTGCTTGGGGTAAGTGTCATGTTTTCACTTCTTGAATGATTTGGCATCCGAACAGAAGTCCGGACTCTTTCTGTTGAATCTAAATGGAATCAACAAGGAATTGCCGAGCGCCAAATCTCCAAGGGTTGATTCCGATTCCATTCGCTTCGCCCGTCTCTGTCAATAGAAAAACCGCCCATGTTCAGCCGGGCTTTGGCACCTGTTTTTAAAGAGAAAGATCCCGAGAATCGTTCTCTCTCTCTCTCTCCCTCTCTCTCTCTCTGTAGAAACCGCCCATTTGCCCAGGGGTTTGGTATCTGGTTTTTGAAGAGATTCGGGTCATGGAAGGTACAGCTCGAGGATCGGACCAGTTCTGCATGCAGGAGTTTTCTCCTTTCCCGTTTTCGTCTTCGTTTTCCGAATGAATGCCGTCATTCGGCGAACCAAACTCGCTCATAGAACAGGCCCCATGTCAGCAGCTGCAATAGGAGTCGCTTGGCCAAACCCTCGCCCAAAATTGGCGGTTGGCTTGGTGGTTTAGACCTTAGGGGGGTACCTTCCCCACTTGGTTTCAAAAAGGCACTGGGGTCCAAGCCGCCGATCCAAACCACCAATTCGGGGTTCCCCCCAAGCCGCCAGGAATTGTTGAAAGAAAGCCCAAGGATTTTGTTCTTCCCTCAAGCCTGAGTCGGCCCAAAGGACACCATGGCCGCTAACCACTTGAAGGGTCGACCCGAGTTGTTTTTCCACCAGCTTTTCCTTTTTTGTGAACCCACAAAAGCTTGACTTGACCATTGAATAGACCCAGCGTACGGGTCTTTGCAATTTGAATCGCCTTGTGGGGTGCCATGAAACCAAAATAGGTCATGGTCAAGGGAGAGTTGAAGAAAATAATTTCCACAAACGACCTTCAGAAAACGTGGGGTTATGTAGCAGGGCTCGGCAGTAATGTTAATTTCGAATCAATCCGGAGGATCAGTCCCAGCAGGCGGCCTCCTCCTTAAGCAAGGACACTTGGTGCAGTTTTGGGGGTTCCTCTGAGGGGACATGCAGTCTTAGGGATCCCACCAGACGTCCTCTGAGTTGAAGAAAAATCCTCGTCAACATCCGAAGTCGACAGTAAGCCCTCAGGGCGCCTAAGATGGCTGGTTTCCCCTTGGCTTCCCTGCAAAGCAAAGAGAAACATAGGGCACCAAGTAACCAACCAGCGGCTCGCTCTTCACCAACCCACCAACCAGCCACCGGGCCCAGGTTTTTGCCCCCGTCGCCTTCATGTTCGCTGCCTTCCCCGCAGAGGCGCCAATGGCGGTGTCCTCCACTACCACGCAAAGCATGGGCGCCACACCCAGCTTCTTGGCCGCCAACTTGTAGATGGCCTCGGTGGATGGCATCATGAAGGGGCCTCTCCCAATGGATTTTGTTCCTATGGAACCTCCCCCCTTTGGAGGGATATTCAATAAGAATACGGCACCCGCAAAGAAATCAGCACCGGTGTTCACCTATTGTAAGGTTCAAAGGTTTTAAAGGGTCACGTAGGCGTATCTTGAAATAGTACAAGGGTGTTCAAACGCAAACCAGACGGAAACCCGCCATTCTTGGGGATCCCTCTGTTGTAGATTGCCTCCAAGGAAGGAATGGGTTGAGAACAAACGAGCGCCCATTTCACCCTGACCACTAAAGTCACATTCCCATCTTGGCCTTGCCAGAACCCCGATGAAAAACAGTTATAAAATAGAATAACCTGCTACAGTGGCCAATGAGGCTTTGGGCGCTGCTTGGGTCTGTGCTTTGTTTTCTGGCCTCGGGTGCCCTTTTGAGGGGGAGAAGTGCTTTCCAAATATGGAACCCTCCTCCCCCCATTGGATTTACAAGGGAAACCAAAAAGGGCGCCCATAAGCTGCAGGTTGTGGTCCCCTCATTTGGAGTCGCCGGAAAGGGCATCCATCCCCTATTCAAGCCGCAAGCCCAAGGGGTGGCCATTTAAGTTTAAAACCCCAGCCCCAAAAGGGCAATATTTTGCAAACAAAGAGGAGGGTGCCAATTTTTGGAACATTCGCCAACCCAAGAAGGGTGGGGCACTTGTCCGTATGGGAAAGCCAAAGTCAGTCTTACATAGTGTTGAAATCCAGCCCCCCCGTACAATGACGCGCAGAAAACCTGATGAAACACCCATTTCGTAAGTCAACTGGATGACTAAACCAATTGCGGGGAATTGTGCCATCTACTTTCAACCAACTGCAATAAGGGGCCAAACAATTACGCACAGAACAATTACGCACAGTATTCTCCCCTGATCATGACTTGCCCTCCCCCCGTGAGCACAAGGTCTAACCTTCTGTTGGTTGAAGTGAAAGCCCACTGCTTCCAAAAGCTCTATGGGAGGATTCGGCCACACCAAAGACCGGCTTGGACGCGGTGCTGGGTCCGGCTTCTTCTCCGCGACCACGTCCCCGGCGAAGATGGTCATCTTCTTAGCCTAGGGTACGGCCCTCTCGGGCATCCAAGCATCTCCTCCCTTGGTTGAATTCCATGGGGTGAAACAAAATTCCTACACTTCCAACCTAAAAACCAAAAAACACCTCGCCCTTTAGGTTACCAAGCCTCTTCCAACAACATGTCCAGGGTGATAAATTTGCTTAAGACCAACTGGTTTGGAAAATATCCTGAATCGGACACGCAAATGGAGTGTTCCATGCTCCCTTTGCCACCAACTGTCTAGGCAAAAAGCAAAGCACTTCACTCAGCTCCCGTGAAAGAGACGGCAAAATCCATCGCAACGCCAACGAGACGCCTCAAAGGACTCAGGGCTAATTTCCCGCTGATTTCTTGTCGATTGTGGTGTGAAGGTGTTCCGGGCTGTTTTCAAACTTATCCTGTACGATAAAAAGCCTTTATTTTTGTGGTTTTGAAGTTTGAAGGGACCAAAAGGAAAACCAAAGCCATTAAACCCCTCTGAACAATCCCACCTTCAACCAAGGAGCGAACTCCGGCAGCATCGTCTCCACCACGGCCTTAACCGACGCCTGACGGGCTTGAGTTGTGCGGGATGGTTACCAGCCTCCACGTTCGTCCCAACATGTGGGTAGTGCTAAATGAGTCGTCTCCAAAAACTTACTACCCCCAAACGAAACAAGGGCGACAACCTGCAGTTTTTTTGACATGCCCCCCAGATTGTTAAATTGCCTATATAGGTTTGGAAGCTCAGCTTGTGGATCGATCTCTGACGCCCGCGGTTCCGAACTCAAATGCGTTTCCACGAGCAAGGCTTCAGTTTGACAGGGCTGACTCGGCAGCCCCATTGCACCTAGCAGGGCCATCTTGGAAGTTAGAAGGTGACGCCCGCTGCAGCAAGCAAGGCCACACACCCCATGGTATCAAGGTTTCCTGTTTACCCATCATGGCCCGACTTTAAAACACTTCAAACCAAGGATCCGTTATGGAGCAGGGTTCCCAGTAATTATCCAACCCCCAATCACATGAATCAACCAGGAATTCTACTTAGAACCAGGGTGTCCAGTATCCAACAGGATCCCTTGTTCTTTTCTGGGTTTTGGCCACTGCCTCGTTGCTGGTGGAGCACACCGCCAGCTGCCACCCCGCATCCGCCGCCGCGCCGATCAGCTCCTGACGCCGTTTCGGAGCCAATTCCATTCTTGTCTTCCCCATAAAGGGGAACATGGAAGCATAGATGGAATTCCAGGGGTCACCCCGCTTCCCCCCAATTCCATTTATAAGGATTTATAAGGAGTGGGGATGGCGTCCCCTTTTGTGATTTATTTAGTGATTTCTGAGCCATGCCATGGATCTCGAAAATTTTGAACAAACATACCCATCCCGTTGTGGCTTCCCCCATGTTCAGTAATTCTATCGGTGTGCTCGTTGAGGGTTCTTTTTTCGTGGCTGTAAGGGGAAACGAAATGAAACCTTGACTCAAACACATGCGACAAAACCTGTCAAACGGTCGGCTAAGTTTTATTTGGCAGTACGACAACCTTCCAGGCATCGGACATATCAAAGTGGGAGCCTGGAGAATCAATCTGTGGGTGCACGGGATCTGCCAACTCCTAGAGCACTAGGCTTATTTGAAGTCTCTGAGGCTGTGATCATGTGAAACCTCTGGGCCCTGGGGCATGCAACGCCTTACAGGAGGCCCCTCGCCTTTCTGGGGTGAAGTGAAACTTTGCGCAGCCAGGGGCAAGGGTTTCCCGGTTTTTCACGAGTTCACACGTTTGGGTGGCGCTCTCTTTGAGTTTAGAGCTGCGGACCCCACGTACGCATGTGCTCAGGCAGGTGTCAGAAGCGGAACCAGCTCCAACAGCCCTTCTGCTTCCTGTTTGCCCATTTGCGCATCAGGCTTCCCACAAAGGCCTCGCTCTGAAACCCTGGAATGATGATTCCCCAGTAAATGCGAACAAACAATGGTTTCTCATGGTTTCAAAGTGGTGCAGGATTTCGCCCACCAGTTGGACCAACAGCTTAAGCAAATAAGAAGTCCAACGCCCTATTGCTCGAGCTGCCACTTTTGGATCGAATCACCCGCCTTGATGCCCTCGCGCAGCGGAAGCTCGCCAGACTTCACCTCGGGCGCGCGTGCAAAGAAACCAGGGCACAAGGGCAAGCAAACGGGAAAAAGAGCCTCTGCAGTGCAAGTGGAACCAGGACAGGACATGATAAAAACATGGCTGGGAAGCAAAGTGAAACCTCAAATGTCTAGCCTTAAGTTCGGTCAGAGCTCGAAGCAGCCGCAAAACTTGCTAGTAACATGTAGGTGTCCCCCCAAACGCCACTGGGGGGGGGGGCTCCTGAGGGTTGTGCGTTTCCAAATGCACGGCAAATTTCGATGTGCTGCCCAAGGCCCAGCTAAAATGCAACACATTTACCAGTCAGGGGTAGCTGCCCTTCAGGTGAAAGCCGCGATCACACACCAAAATGCCAATACACGGACTACACTATTGGCAACCTGTGCTCAGCTTCCCTCTGATTGGTGGTTTGAAGCCCGGTGGTTTGGAGGTTAGGTCGGTTTTCCGTTTACCCTCCACAAGAATCGGGGATTCAAATCCCCAAATGCACCAATCCAAACCAGCAGTTAGAGATGTGCCGCACAAAAGCCGGCAAAAAAAACACCCGGAATGTCGGAGAGCTTCCGTTCGCATCCCTCCCAACAAAATGTTCAGATCCTGGTATCACACATCCCCAAGTTGACCTTGCCGCAAGGACCTTGCCAGGTCAACGTTCCTGCCCCCCCCCCCCCCTTCCCCCCCCCCCCTCACCCCCCCACCCCCGCGGGCGAACGGAAAAACCAAAAAAAAAGTGTCGAAGGCGTAAGGGGCGATCTCCATGAAGAGCTTCGTCTTGAGCTCATGTAGCTCCATGATGGCCGGGTGGTCCTTCTCTGGCTCGTCCTGGCCCAATGTTCGCGAGGAACCTACCCCACGGACACGAACCCCACATTCGTGGTCCAAATCACCGTTGACTCTTGGTGGCGCAAGGCGCGGAAAGCTAGCCTGACATTCGTCATGCAATGATATTTCATGATATTCCCACAACCCGTATGAGCCGATGAATACACCCTGAATTCGGCTCCATTTGAGACATTGGCTTCATGAGGGGAACTAGTCATTCACACGCTGACAGCGCCACAAATCACTCCGGCCTTTTCCAAAGAACTGCACTTGTCCAAAACCCTCCTTTCAGCTTCCACGATTCTCACCACGACACCAGAAGATTTCAGGTCAACTCGTGTCAGTCTGCCTCGTAATTCCAGGCGTCCGGGTTATAGTCCTTGAAATATCGGACCATGCGCTCCTGCCACAAGAGTCAGAGTGGGAAGCATGTCAGGAACTGCTATGACTCTATTGGACTGAACGAATGCGCATTGGAGGATGAAATGCAAGCGAACATACATGATGACGCCAGCAAGCACCTTCAAAAACAGGGTCGTGGGCAACTTTTCATGAATCGCAGACTTAAAGGAAGGGAACCTTGGCAAAGGATGGATCCTCCAACACGGCTAGTAAAAGTGATTTTCTTTTAACTGGCAATGTATCCTTTAAGTGCCCAGTAACCTTTAGCAGCTGGTACAGTAGCCGCCCAGTGTTACTATCCTTTAAGTGACCCTGTTAGTAAAACCCATCTCAGAAGATCCCCTTGTGCCTTTGGTTTAGAGAACCCTGCATTCTGTGGGTAGCCAGTGGAGAACATAATTGATCAAAGGGACTCCTGCTAGTGGTGGTAGACCGTACTCCTTTCCACAGGGGTTCGTTAGTTCGTTAGGTACATATCATCTCACAATAGGGGACCCTCAAGTTTGTCAGCTCTCCATGTGTTGCCTTTCAAAATCGCACCAACAAAGGTACCTGCCACAAGCGACCTACCCATATGGCTGTGGGTCAAGAATGGGTACCCAAAATGTCACCCTGGCAAATTGAAACAATAACTAAAACCTGTGGTTCCCTGGTGGTTTAATTTTGACCCATACCCATATCGCAGGGAAAAACGCAAGGAGCCAGCCACAGGGGACCAGAACTCCACCCACTCACTCCTTGCCGCCGCCGGTGGTCAGCAGCTCACCATAGAGCTCCGCATCCCACTCGAAGTCGTAGCCCTTCTCCTGAAAAATAGAAAAGCCTGCGGAGATTGCTTCATAATTCATAGAAAGCAGCTAAAAAGGAAAAAAAGCTTAATACAAAGCAGCCAAATTAAGAAAAAAAGAACGATCTACAAGACAATTGACAACTACCAACTAAGAACAAGGAGTCTTCCAGTCGAATTGTCGGTGTCTTAGATTGTTGATAGCCTATTCTGGAACTAAACGGTACCCGGAAATGAATGGTCCTTTTGGAACCTTGACCAAAGGTCAAGAGGTCGGCCTTACTTCATAGAAACCAGCAACACGGGGATTTCCAAAAACACATTTCGAGTAGAATCTCCAGTAGATGGCTTCTTGGAAAAAATGCAAGACCCCCAATTGAAAGTAGCGAAAAACAAGTTGCTGGTTCGAGGTGGTTCTAATCCAGCAAGTGTTCGACGCTGCTTAAGCATCACCGGACCATCCATTGGAGAGGTTTGGATCTCCATTACAAAATGTTGGCCACGAAAAACATGTTTGAGGTCCCATTGATTTTTGGGAAGCAAAGATGTCCAATCAGTGCCAACATCGCTTTCTGGTATGGAGGTTTCGGATGGCAGCGTGTAGCCCGGATTCAGGTGCAGCAGAAGCTCCCTACCCACAAAACCCGGTGAATACCCGATGCTCCCGCCAGAATTCCAGAAACCGATACCAAGCTGCCAAAAATCACACGCTAACGAGGGCAACAAGGGGATCCTCAAAATCAGCTGGAAAAGGTCACTTTTCAACTGCACCACATGTATCCTCTAGTTGCACCAACTGCAAAAACCGGCTGGCCTTGGCTTCTGGCACCTCTCAACACCCTCCAATTCTAGGCTGGAATTAGGACCCCAACAGCAAAACAAATGACTTTTTTAACACAAAGGGACCCCAAAAAAAAAAAAACAAACAAAAAGGGGAGCTAATTCTGGGAAATAATTCAACTGGCTACGTTCATGGGGAACAACTACACAAGTGGCTTGACATGAACCCCCATTCTCATATCCACCGCGATTGAAATTCAAACCTTCAACATGTCTTGCCTGTGGGGTTTTGCCTTGGAATCGGAAACCCTTCCGGAGTCCAACCACTTGCCTCGGCTTAGGCACATCGCCACCTCCCGCCCTCCGTGAGCATTCGACTTCGAACGCACGAGTCGAATTCGACGTCTCCTCGAAGGCCTTGTTGAAGGCCACGCGGTGCCCATCCCTTTCCGTCTCCACCAAGGTGCCGTCGCAGTCCAGCAGCAGTGCGCCCTCGCGTTTGGGCAAATCACACGGGCTCGGTTCCCCGCCCCAAAATTGGAGCGGGGCACCAAAAATGGCACCCAAAAGGAACCCCTGGCCCCCAATAGGCCGGTTGCTAGTGGGCAAAAGCTCAGACCACCAGACTTCCTACAAGAAAATAGTGTGCATGTCAATGTGGTGGTTTCCCTATTGCGTCCCTTCAACGTGGGCCTAAAACTAGTACCTGTAGAAATTGACGGCAAGCGGTTAGAATCAAGCCAAAGTCATACCCCTCATGGCGACGGTCGTGACCCTCCCGGCATCGCCTTGTCCGTCATCTCCACCCCACCGAGGAGGCCCCAGCCCTCGTCGTCGTCGTCCATGTCCGACTGCTTCAGCGGAGGCACTGGGGTGCCCTTGCGCAGGAGCTGGCCATACCTGCGCACAGGGGCTCGAATATGATCGAGCGCCCGCTCATGACATGCGAGACGAGGCTCACATGCCAGTTGAAGCTATGAACCTCTTGCTGTTGCAACCCAAATTGCCCTAGATCCAGATACTAGGGATGAAAATGCAGTTGATGATTTTCAAGACATGCCGTACTCGTGCATGACAACGCTAGCGGCATGCCATGTGCACGCGAACGCCACGCCTCTCACTCCCAAGTCGGCCAGTGACGTCTTGCTTACCCAGCCGGAGAAACTCAATGTGCCACTGGACAACTGGAAGACGCTTTTCAGGCTGGCGTAAAGGGAAACATGGGAAATCGAAAAGGACACTCGGACACCACCATTTCAGGGACCGGGCCTGATCAGCCTATCCGGCTCCCCTGGGATGATGCCCCACTCGGGGTCGTAGACGTCCGTGGAGTAGCGGTACTTGAACTTGGCCCCCGGCTTGGCGCGGAACCTCAGCTCAAGCTTGACCGCTTGACCTTTGGATGTTGGGAACCGGCTTTGACACATTCACATCTTGGCCTCTTCCATGTTTGATGGTGGAAGGGTGCGTGGCAAGTGAACAGGATGTGAACACGTGCAAAACAGGCAAGCATGAGAATTCACATGGGTCGCCCTCAAAAAATTGGGCCTCCCAAAGGGGGATTCCTCTTAGCAAAGTTGTGGTTGCATTTCAATATGCAGGCGTGTGAGTGCGTGTGTGCAAACTAGCAATCAAAAACATGTGTCTTGTACGCAGTGTAGAAACAGGATCTCCACATGCCTCCACTCTGCACGCTTTTGGGGGCGCCCTGGACAGGCCCCGTGTAGGCGTGCACAGTCGCACACAAATCCATGATAGGATAATAACGCCTGGCACCCTCCATGTGAGAGCCTCTGGAGTCGTCTGGTTAGATTGTGTCTTGCTGTTGGTAGTGGCTGAATGCAATCGTGTTTATCTCTGGTGCTGCGCTGTCCTCACTGTGGTCGATGCCGCTGTTGCATTTGCAACGGCCTGCATGAAGTTGACAATGACCATTTTGCAAGGAGTGTCTGTTCCTGCCATCCACTTCATGATATGTTTGGAAGCTCGGGCCTCATAGTCATCAACGCCCTGTAAAACATGAGGCACTCATCCACACCCTAAGCCTTTTCACAAGTCTCTCGTCAAGAGTCAGGTGAGTCACAATCAAAACCCGGTATTAAAATGGTCTACCCAGAGCCATGTAAGGAATTAAGAAGGCGGCCGCAGCTATTTATGGCTGGGATTGTCCGTTGCCTTCATCTACCCGGGTTTTGATTGTGGCTCAGGTTGCTCCCAAATTCCTTTCAGGGAAGGAAGTTGGCCCTGGCAACGGGGAGGAAAACTCTAGTCACGTCCCCTCCTGAGTGGCGCTTCTTGGCCGGGACGCTTCATGTCATAGAAGCAGCCCCCGTTGGGTCCCAAGCTCACACGGGAGCAGTTGCGCTTCATCACGCGGAAGACCGACACCGCCGCAACGGCGGCCAGGGTGGCGCTGGTGACCCAGCTGTCCACGCCTAAAACAAATCTGCAGCGCAGGATGTGGGATGCATAAATATGCTCATATACACCCTGTTCCAGCCTCATATGCATGATGTACACACTGGCACCCTTCACGTTAAAAACCGTTGATTTGAGCACGTCGTTTTCAGGGAAACCAGCCAAGGACCCAACTCCACCTCCCCCAGGCCCCGAATCTCTGGCCTGTGCCGGGTGTGTAGAGCGAGCTCTCAGCGCCCGGCATGCGCGGCACCTATCGGCGGCAAAATTGAGGCTCGCTCCCCTTGTGGGAAGTTCAGTGACCTCCATGTGCCTCCCAACTGGTTGACCCAAACTCGAATGGTAAGAAGCATTTTGCTGGGCAAGTGGAAGGAATTGCCTCGAACGCCCGCAATACAGTCTGGATTCCATCATGGGGCACCCTACCTTAGACAAACGGTTTGCTTCGACTAACGTGGTGAGCATTGTTGGCGACTAAAGCCAAAGCAGTGCGAAGCAACCGTAGAACTGTTGTGCGCACATGTCAAGAAAAGACAGGCCTCATGCGCGAAACTGAAATCGTGCACAACAATCCCAACACTGGCCCAACCTTCCACCTGCTGATCAAGCTTGCAGGTTCCCAGAGACACGCGCCCCTACAGTTGCCAAGCGGTATGTTTGAGAAGAAGGCATGCTACCAAAGGACAAGCAAGGAAACACAAATGCGCTTGAAGTTGTTACTTGGTTTTTGAGACATGCCTTGGGAACACACCAAAAAACATTTGAAGCATGCCGGAACCCACACAAATCAGTCTCTGATATGGCTGTGTGTTTGTTGGGGGTACACTGTTCACCTTTGATGAAGGGACCACCGAAAGGAAATCACAATTTTTGGGAGCCCCCCTTCGACATGTACCGATTGCTCGCCCGCCTGTGGCGCTCTAGGCGCGTTTAGGCTCACAAACGCCATGTCTGCCATGATAGGCGAAACGCGCGGGGTCAAAGGAACCCTGGAGCCCACGTTCTGCGTCGAAGCGACAGCGCGTCCATCAGGCTGCCTAGATACTGAGAACCCCGGATTCATAAACCCCTGCTTTTTTGTGTGTCCCCTTTTCAATCCACTCCCCCATTGATAGGGGGCCCGGTCCCCGGTTTAGTGGGCATTCCTTTCTTCCAGGGGGCCGGAACCTCTGTTGAATAATTGGGGGGGGGGGGGGGGTGTATGAATCAACTCATGACCTGAACCGACGCGACGGGGCCCTAGCAGCTTGCTCCAGGGTCTGGTCCGCGCACAAGGTGTCCTTGTTGCCCAGCAGCGTCATCGCCTGCAGAGAGCTCCGCTGGAAGGGGAAGGGGGTCCATTCTCATCTACCCTCAATAACAAACAGTGGCTTGTCCTTGGGAAGGGGATGTACGGTCCAGCGTCCTTCTGAAGAATTTGGGTCTATGTCCTTTTTGAGGGCACCTTATTCTGTTTGGCTTTGAAAGGGAACCCAAAAGGAAAACCGAAGGCACCTTCTTTTGTTTGGCTTTGAAAGGGAAACCAAAAGGAAAACCGAAGCCATTTTGGGGGTCCTCCTAAGCAAATCCAAACCTATTTGTCGCACGTCCTCACAAGGCCGCGCCCGCCCAGTTGGCCTGCCTGGTCACAGCTCTCGACGGTCGTCAGGCCCGCCTGACCGAAAAATGAAAAAGACCAGCGGCCTGGGAAGTCTTCCCAAGTGCTGCGGCTGGTCAAATACAAGTGCTCGCCCTCGACTCTTCTGACTGTTTGGGGCGGGGGGGAGGGAGGAGGGCACACATTCATGGAAACCACAGTATAAAGTCCATGGTGTACAATGGGATTCTCCACACTTGAGTTTACTTTTTTAGGAACGCCAAAGTACCGAAGTCCCTGATAGAATCCAGCAAAAAGGGACACCCTTTGGAATGTGTAAAACTGGTAGGGGGGTTGTAGAGGTTCCCTTTTCACTGGTTTCCTAGAGTCCCGAACTCTAAGAGTGGGCCAAAGCTTGACAACACGGATCCGACCAGTTTTTGGCGGGTAAGGAAAAATGAGGGGAACCCAAAAAGGCGAAAAGCTTCTCCCTCTTCTTCTGAGGATTCCCCTTTTGTGTGGTTGTAAGGCGAAACCAAAAGGAAAATAATAACCTTCTCACTTTCGGAGTGGACTGGCCAAACTTTCCATTTGCCGCTAGGATGGTCTTCCCAAAAAGTGGATGAACTCAGGACGTGAGTCTTTGGGGGTCCACTTTAAAAATACACCCCAAAATACCCCAAACAAGTTTCAAAAGGCCAGCCAAGTCTGGCAGTGACACAGGACCTGAACCAAAACAGCCTTCCTTGGCCTCCGGCCTTGACTGCCTCGCTGGCGAAAGCGGCGTCGTCGTCGGCGCACGTCTGGGCCCGCCTGCAAAAAGTGGCAAATGCAAAACACAAAGCGGCCAGCGCAGAGTCGACTTGCAAGACAGGGCACCTGGATACTCAGACTACCCTGAAGGAATTCATCCGAGGCATTCTTAGGGCAACACTAGTTGTTTAATGGGTAGTTTGAGGGTAGCTTCTATTAGCTTCCTCTTAGGTGGTGGCTAGCGCCGTAATGTGTTCAACGGGCTTTCCACTTACCCCCGACCAGTGACGACTCCCAAATCCAAACCAGGCCGCCAGTGCCCTTTTGAGGAGCTTCCTCTATGCGTGTTGGGGAGGGGGGGTTCGCGTTCCCGACCCGGCCCACGTCTGGCCTTCCGTGCAGTCTCCGGACTAAACCTGGCAGACAGGAAGATCTGGCTGGGCCTCTAAGGTGACACCATGGCATAAAGGGGCGAAGTGAAGTCATTCCTCACCAACCCATTCCCAGGTGGACCTGTGCACCATACCATGTTTGCCGGGATGGCAATTTGGGTTCTCTACATGCCCCTCATTTCGTGCAAGCTCAAAAACAAACATGATGATTGGCGCGTGCGCGTTTCTTGGACGATTTTGCGACTAAGGCACCTAAGGAACCGGATGGCTGGTTGAACCAAAGGCCAAGATTTACATGCCAGCCAAAGGCTACAAGCTGCTTCTGGGCATCCCGGAACCCAGTCGCCTTCCTCAAGGTCTGCTCACATCGGACATCGGGGGGGGGGGATAGGGGGGACGGAAATGAGCTGAGGCATGGCGACACAAGTGTAGCCTGCACTCAGAGATGGGTCTGTCTTGTTTCGGTGAATTCTTCTTTGGTTTGGTTTTGCAAGGGAGGCCAAAAGGAAATCCGTCACTTTGGGGGGGTTCCCCCCTAAAACACGAGACACCCATACACCCATCTCTCGTCTACCTGGAACTTCTGGGACGCGCCAAGAAGGCGTCTGTTGCACAGAAACCATCCCTTGCCGAAAGGCCGAAGTTGTGCACTAAGGCATCATTCGTGTTGGGGTGCACTAAGTGATCATTCGTGTTGGGAAGATTTTGCCGCTCGCGCGACCAGTCCTATTGATGTCAAAGCGACTTCCTGGGTTGTCCTGTTGCCTTCTCTTTGGGAAATTGCCCTCAGGAGAAATCCGCGCAGAGTATCACCGCGGCTTTGCGATGCTTCCAGAACTCCGCGTTGCAGTCTGTGATGAAGGGTCCCAGCGGCAATAGTACTGTGGATGGACAAAATCCTGCACCACCTAGGAAACCCTGGATGAAGATCCCCCTTTAAATACAAACAATGGGTTTCCCATGGTTTCTTAGGTGGTGCAGGATTTTGCCCATCCACGGCACCAACCGTTGTGAACTTGGCAGAGGGAAAGGGGGCGTCAGTGTGGCTCAAAGAGTTGAACAGGAAGGACTTCGAAGACATGATCAGATTGGTGCGGTTCAGCTGCGCCGCGACCAGGTCCGCTAGTCATGCTGCCCTTGCCCTTCAGGCAGTGAGGTACTTGCGCATGTTGTCTTGGCACACGGGGAAGGCGAAGTTTACCTTGAGGCCCAGCCCAACTTCGTGAAGCTAATGTGGGCAGGGGGTAGGGCTCGTTTGCCCAGCTGCGTCGCGCATGCGCAGCACGTTGGGCCTGTGCTCATTCTGCTCAATCAGCTGCCGTTGGCTTCAGCCATGGGGACGGCCAGCAGAAGGGTGGAAACCTCAAAACCGTGCGACTGTCCAGCTTCATCCTGCTGGTAAAGGGCATTCGGCCCCCCCCAACCCCCCACCCACCCACCCACCCACGCCCCCGCCCACTTTTCCCCCTTTTCAGGGCGGGGGGACTGAGCCCCCGGCCCCGGCTCTCGTAGTCCTCCACCTCCACGTCCTGCGGCGTCGGCACCTCCGCGCCCAGGAGCTCCGACCTCGTGGCCGGTGGCCAGTGCCGAGGCCGCTGGACCGAAAACGACCAAACTAGGTCCTCCTGGAGAGGTTCAGCTATCAGAATAAGGGTGCCAACTTTCTTCTGCGGTCAAGGTTAGTAGGGGAACCCACCCCCCAAAAGAAGGGTAAAAGGGCACTACTGGGGGACCTAGAAACTGCTGTGAAACGGAAAGACGTTGATTTTTGCTCTGGGCCCATGGTTTTGGTGGCCGTAACAGTCTGTTTGTCTGATGGCTTTTGTGGCCGCAACCGTCGATTTGTTTTCTTTGTTGACTGCCCAAAAAAGTTGTTTTGTTTTTTGCAAAGTGGGTGCAGTTATTTTTCCCCATAACTCGGGCACATGGTTTGGATTGCGGGCCATGAGCTAGCAATGAAACACTTGCGAGTTGGTACATTGTGGCCCGACTTCAGCGAGGTTGACAATGTGCCAGTTCAAAAAAAGATCCCAGAACATGGTACCAGGTAGTCTTCGCGCGGGGTCTTTTGTCTGAGGGGTGCAAACCACAAGTATACAACCTGGGTACCTCCCATCACTTGACCATTGGTGACAAAGCGTTCACCGTGCCCCGAAACCATGAACCTCGAAGGTCCAGAGGGGGTAACAGGTGATAGCCCCCGCTCCCCACAGCCAACCTTGGTCCATCACCCCAATTCCCCCCCTCCGCCCCCAAAAACAGCAAAAGGCCTATAACCTTTCATATGTCCTTGGATTCTGTCACACCAACCCCCCCCCCCGCCTTACCAGCCAGAACCCCCCCATCCCCCCCCATCCCCCCGTCCCCCCGTTCCCAGCTCCCTGCCAAATCCCCCCCCCGCCCCCGCCTCACCGCGGCAAAAGCGGCAAAGGCCTCGGCCACCGCTTGCAGCACGGGGGCGATGGCCCTGATCCCCCCCTCCAGGCTCACGTAGGTCGTGACCAGCGACTTCTGGGACACCTCCTGAGCCGATTGCAAGCCGAAACATACGGGGAAGCGGGGATTACCTGGACCCGCAAACTACCCTTGAAAAGGAATTCGCCGTAGATGTTTAGGTTTTAGGGCAAGAGCCAACTTTTAATGGGTATTTAAGCGCTTTTAGCAGCTTCCTCTTGCTTGCTGGTTTGGAAACCGGTGGTGTGGAGTGTTGTTGTGGTGGAGAAACGCTTTCCCTCTCTACAAGAAGCAGGGGTTTAGCGCAACAGGTCTCGATCAGCTTTGATGGGACCACCGGATCCGCCAGTTGTCTACGGGACGATTCGGCGCCAAAGCCAAGTGAAGGGAATCCTCGGGAATGAGCCAACGGACCCCCTAGGAAACCATAAGGGACGGGTGATCCCCTTGCCAACCCCAAGAAGCACCATGCACCTTGCCCCTGAGCTTCACATAAGCTAAATTTGTGGAGTCTTCGGCTTTGACAACTGCCACTTGCAGCCAAAGCTCCACTTGGCACATCTCTGGCTCTGGCTCCAAACCAGGTGGGTGGTACTTTCTTATGCGGCCGACCTCAAAACCGCCCTCCAGGGGTCACCACACTGGGCTCTTCAAAAAGGAGAGTTCGCCAACCCTAATCCTCCGTGTACTTCAGTCCCTTGGAAATGAACAACTTTTCCTGTAGTGATAGATTCCCTTTAAAACCAACAGGGGAACACAAAACAAACATATGAAGCAATGGCCGCTATCCATGATCCCTGTGGGACAACAACGGCACCACATTCGTAACACGGCACGGGTAGCCGCCGAGGCGCACTTGGGCCGTCCGGCAAGGTCGCCGGCGGGAGCGTGGGCATGTACACGTCGCAGCCCGGCAAAGGATTCGCCATAGCTGAGCGGAAGGTGCGAAGTCAGCGTGTACGTAACACATTGGCCCTGGTTCCCTGGTCATTTGGTGGTTACCTGGTTGGTTCGCACTTTACACACGTGATTGGCTGAAGATGTGGCATTTGCAGGAGACCCACCCTTAGTTGGAACGCTGGGTTCTGAGATTTATTTTGGACCCCCAGTCAATTGGCAAACCTTGGTTGTCCGTTACTCACGTCTGCCTTAATCGACCTTGCGTATGACATTCCATGCAACATGTCTTGGGTCCCTTGCAGAAATCTCAACACGCAACTCAAGATGCAACCTACCTACTTGTTTAGGGCCAAGGAGGGATCACATACGTAGTATCGCTTGGTCTGGATTAGCACCATGGACTTGGGAAAGGCTTGGCTTACAACAGAAACTTGGAAGGTATCAATCAACAAATCTGAGCGGCCCTGTAGGGCCCTGTGGGGGGTCATACTCGGATGACCCCAAAACAAGCCTAGGATAAACCAGAAACCAATAACAAGGCCATATAAAGGAGCATTAGGGCCACAAACATCCGAAAACACACCAAGGGTTCAGGGTCCGCTGGAAAAGGTCGCTCTATCCCCAGAGCACCTACTTTCAACCTGCTCCACCAACCTCAATACTGGCTAGGTCTGAATCCTTTGCCCAGGATCTTGTGGCTCCAGCTCTAACTTGTCGCACTTGGCTTCACAGTCACTCCCTGAGTAGCAAAGGGACACAACCCCAGTTCCGGACTTTGAGAAACGATAACCCCAGTACAAACTCCCGAATGTTGTGGGCGGTTTCAGGAATCAAACAGACTTAGTCATGTCGTTCGACCATTAAACAATACTCCTCAACCTCTTCAACCGGAATCTCCTGGGGACTTTTCCCCTGCGTGGCTTCGGAGGTCCCCAAGTCCCAGCACCAGGAGCTCACGACACGCCAGGCCACTGTTGAAGTTGATCACGGGCTCAACCTCCAGGTAGCCCGCGCGAGCCTCGGGCACGTCACGTGGGCAGATCGCGCAAGCGACGTGTGGCTGAAACCCGCCCCGCTGGCAGTGAAGAAATTCGTTCAAGCCCTTGGGTCTTGGTTGGCTGCTTTGCGACGCCGGCTTAGTCTTCCAGAAATGGAAGCCAGTGAGAGTTCGCCAAGGCTCCCAATTGGACTGCACGTCGCACTTCTCGTTGCAATGGCACAGCATATACTTGCCGCAGGCCTGAGAAAAAACAATATGCCACGTCCCAGCTGTTAGGCCAGCCATCTATTTACCCGGATGAATCACCCCCCCTTACTTCCTTCATCAAAGCTCCTTGACTGCCAGCCACTTGTAAAGGGCCTAAGGCGGTCCATGGGCCGCCAGAACCCCCATGGCACGATAGTACGCCAAGCAAAGGTTTGTCTGAGCCAACACTAAACCGGTGCAAGCCCAACAGCCGGCACCAAACAGCTGAAGTGTATAAAACATATATCTATAATATGTATATATACATATTCGTGTTTATGCATGTATATAAATGAGTGCGTGCATGCAAATGCATACAACAACCATATATGTGTCTTTCTGTTCTGTCTTGCTTTTTGCTCAACAAGTGTATATACTTCTTCTATCTTCTCGATGTACAAAATTGTGAATGCTGAGTATTGGAAAGATGCATCGTGGGACCCAGGTCCTTGAAGCAGAAACAAGGCAGACTTTGACCCCGAACCCTGTTCAGTTCGGGTCTGTCGTTTGATGGGGAACGAGCCGGAAAGGACAGGAGGTCGGAGGACCATGCTTCTTGCTTGCCCCGACCTTGGTAAATCAATTTGTTTCCTATGCTGTGGTCCTCCGGTTCAGGACGCAAAGGTGTGTCTCACAATCGGGGGACGCCTGCACACAGGCGGCTTCCTGTTGGTTTCCCTCTACATCCCGGGCATCGAGCCCCAACCCGCGGCCGCAAACAGCGGCGTCTATCCGCCTCACAAGAGATCGAAATGCACAGGGCACGCGTCGCGCATGGGTTTTCGGCAAAGGATGAACCCAAGGCAATCCCAACCGGTTATCCTTCCTTGCGCAACAATCTCAGGCTGGGAGCAACCCTGGCAGGTGGCAGTTCCATGAAAATTGCAAAACATTGGCCAATGCTGGAGAAACACGACTAAGAACAAAGAATTGGCGATTTGAGTGGCACACGCTTGAGCGGTGTGTGAATTGCTCCCAAAATCGCTGGCCGAGGCACGTTCACCACGATGCCGCCCCAGCGGTGTAGAAACTCGGTGGCCAGACTGGGGGGCGTGGTGCAGATGAAGCCTGGCGCGCATGCGCCCGCAAAACCGCCCCCGCGAGACCGGTTTCGGGGGCGGACGGGAGCCGGCCCCTGCGCAGCTTGGAGCCAAAGGCTTTTCGGCAACGCCAAGTAGGCAATCCCTCTAATGCCGCTGCTCCAATGACGTGTTCTCAAGTATATAGTGCAGACGGCAAAACCGAAGCTCCCGCAACTCACTTTTTGGACCTGTACTCAAATCTATCAGACTGTTTTTTACCGATACTATGTCTAGAGAAACCGCCGGGATTCCCAGGGTGTGTTGGCAGATTCTAAACGGAAGGATCACCGGAACACAAAATAAGATCAGTTCACTTTGGCAGAAACATAACGTTAGAGACTATTCAGCACCCATACGTTCAAATGATTCCCCCCCAACATATCCACACCCCACCTACCCCTCCGACCCCTCGAAACAACAATGTCCACCCAAACATACACCATACCCCCCCCCCACCAAGAAAGCCAACACACACACAAGCTATAACAACACAACCAGAATCTGACAGACAGACAAAGACCAACAAACCAACCAACCAAACAAAACATCCTTGACCTGAAGCCCAGCCCTGGGGTCCATTTCGGTCTGTCCCAAAAAGGGACGACGCCACAAATGGCTTTGGTCTTGCTTTTTGGTTGACCCAACCAATCTCAAAAGGGTACTAAGCCTCAAAAACAATGAGCCACACACCAAAAAGCGCCTGGTTGTTGGTGACGGATCCCTTTTCGACCAAGCCACTCTGGTCTCGCTGGTGGGGGTTGGTGGGCATGGGACGCGCCCCAACAAATTCAGCCGCAGAATTCAGCCCCAATTTTCCCATGTTCTCCACATCGTCCAGTGAAATGAGTTGCGACTTGTGGTTTGAAGGAGGACACTTCAAACGAAAGGCAGAACACAAACAAACAAACAAACAAACAAACAAACAAACAAACAAACAACGGGACAAAAAAAAAAAAAAAAAACAATCGCACAAACAAACAAAACAAAGAAACCAACAGACAAGCAAAACAAAGAAACCAACAAGCAAACAAACAAGGAAACCAACAAACAAACAAGACAAACAACGGAAAAAAACAACATCGCCTGACAGCGGCCCGGCGTCTGGCGGCTGCTGACACTCCAGACCCGTGACGTTGAAGGCGATGCCCTCACGCCCTCGAAGGCAGGCGGTTTGCGGCAGTTTTCCCAGGTCCATAACTTGCAGCTCAGGAGGGAATGAGGGAATGAATCCAGGGGTCCCCTTTAAAGGAAACCACAAGGGATGGTTGTAGGGGTCATAGCAAGAAAATGCGGGCACTCCAAATCCATCAGCGGTCCCTGCAAAAGGGGGGGAGGAAGGAACCTCCCGTGGGCCACTCGCCATAAACGCCCCCCTTTTTGCCTGTAACAGTAAACTCCAAAATCGGGTAGAGTAAAACACTTCGGTTGCCCCAACTGTGGCCAAAAGAAGAAACCAAGCCTGTTTACGGCTAAGATGGTCCGAACGCAAAAAAGATACTTTGTCCAGGAACTGAGGGAGTGAGACTCTAGAAAGGAAACTGGTGATGTGGGGCCAAGGGCAAAACCAAAAGGTGGATTGGTCTGAAAACACATATCCATTCCCAGTGCCTAGGAGCAAAACGAATACGGAGCCTGGTTTCCCCTTGAACTACCCCTCAAAACGGGCACTCCGTGCTACCCTCCAAGAACAACACGCAGCTAATCTGTGGCTGACGCCAAGCTGCCGCAGAGCTGCCCATCGGGTATGATCTTCATCCGCGGGCCTGATGAATGTTTCGCAGAAATTCACCGGTAGCTCTTGGAGGGGTTCCTCGCGCCACGGCTCTGACAAAGAACAAAATCGTGTCCCTGATGTGGAGCGGCCAAATGAAGATTACATACACATCTTGTATAGTTTATTCTGTGGGGGGGATCGAAACCATCTTGACTTGATCTACCAAACAAAAAAGAAGCCCCTTTGTTTCACTAAGGCTTTGGCCCCTTCAATGCCCGGTCAAAATGCTGCGCCCCTGGCCAAAGCAGATGGCCAAAGGACTCCACCCACATTCTGTATCCCACGGGGGGCACTTCAGAAGCCTCCCAAAACCATGTAAGTGTAACTCCCACTGCATATCGTGCATCTGCCGAGGAAAAGATTCCAACGAGTTACCTGTCCCCATCTCATCTCACCGGGGTTGAAGGCAAAAATATGTAGGTGTGTCAACATAGGGGAGGCCCACACAAAGACCGTGTTATATCTACGATTACTTCCTGAGACGTACCTCGCCCCTACCCAAAAACAGCTAAATGGTTAAGCAAGCAATAAATAAGCAAGCAGTAAGCGAGCGATATCGATTGCCCGCCCTACCTACTCATTTGGCCTCGCTGCTTTTGGAAACAAGGGGCCAAATATGAGCCCCCTTGTTCCCGGTGGTATGCAGGGAATTCCCATGTTGCTTATCTAAGGGCTCGACCACGCCCTGGAGTCCTGATTCAACTGCAAGGGTTTCAAAATGTGGATACCCCAAACCAATTGCCCAAGGCTTTTCAAGAGCATTATGCCTATGACAGGGGCACACTCAAATCGCGCTCCAGGTGGTTGACATGGCATTGTCCTACCTAAAGTGATTTGGAGCTTCGCCAAGCACGCTTACGAAATAATGTCGAAAGAACCTGGCCCCAAAAAGGAGACAAAGGCTGCCCTACTGGCGTAGTGCAGCGTCTGCAATCCCTGCCTTGGCCGTGCCCCACGTCTTCCGAGCGCATCCTCTCGCCAGTGAAGTCAATAGTCAGTGTGCGGCCAACGATGGCCTCTGCGGCAGGCTTTTGGCCCTCAAGCTGGTAAGAAAGTCTGAAACAAATACCGGGTCTCAAATCAGTAGCACGGGGTTGTGGGGTACCTTAACCCGCAAATTAACAGTCATGATCTTTGAGGAATGTGTTCAGTTGCTTACACCCATAGAGAGAAACGGGGCCAAAGGTCATGCAGGGCATCTGTTGAGCCGATCCTTTCCCCCAAACTGCTGGCTTTCCTTCTGGGTGCTACGTCAGGACTTGAGCTCGTGGCAAGGAAGGGGCGGATACTGAAGACGGTTTCTGAGCTGAGTGACCCTGGCAACAAATATGGGAGTCCTATCAGTGGGGAAGCCACCAAACGCAATGGGGAAAAAGGGTGACGCTGACCAACTGTCAGCTTCTCTCAAATTTTGATGATTTGAACTGGTTGGTGGTTTGGAGGCTGGAGTTTGTTCCCAGTAATTCCCATTTACCCTCTACAAAAAGATCCAGGGGTCAAATCCCCAAATCACCAACCAAGGGCTACCTGAAGCTTGGTTTTAGGAAAGAAACCGCTGTTAAGACAAAAGACCATGGCCGCAGAAACCAGTAAAGCGCCCCTCTTTCCGCCAGAGTTCCTAAAAGCACGCCATCGCATGGAGGCTCAAAACTCCGGACACTCGTTGTTGCTATATCGCCCTAACCATCTTGGGACCTCCAAAAGGGGCCTCAATGAGGTCTCAACTATTCCAAAGCTCCAATGAGCTCCGGCGACGCATCTCGCCTTCATGTCCAAAGAGAGCTGCACCTCGTCGATCTTGTCGCTCACTTTGAAGGCTCCGCCTTGCGCCTCGACCAAAAGACCCTCCATCCGGCCCCGGCCGAAGCTAGCGTTTTCAGGTGTGGACTTTCGATGGCTTTGGGAGGGTACCTGGGTTCTTAAAGCTCTCAAGCCCCTGGTGCTCACTGAAGCTTGCATGGCCTGAGGAAGAGCCTTCGACTTCCAAATCTGGCTTTCTGCATACGCCACTCTCCCCCTCTCCCCAACAAGTGCTTCGTAGACAATGTTGGCAACAATTCAGGGCGCGTTGTCTCACGCGGATCTTTAGAGAATGCCTGCCACTTGGCTCCCGGTTACATTTCTCCAAAGGATCAATAGGCAAGCCCAAAATGAGATCAATGCGAGAATGGAACATGGAAGTCTGCGATCCTGCCAGGTGCTTTTGGGGCCATGTTAGTTCGCACCAAAACAGCAAGCACCACTTGAGGGAACCCCTGTTTAAAATGGTCATCAAACAATACAGAATCGTTTGATCCTTCTCCGATGGAAATTTCATGATCCCGGCTTTGGCATTTCCACGCTGTGACGGGCCCAATCACGTTTGTGAAACCGGCCTCAATCACGTTTGTGTAACCGCCACCTGTCAAGGCTCAACGTGTTGCCCATACATCCCCCTTTGCGGAGGTTTCTGTTTTTGTCCCTCCCCTTTTGGTGGCTCCAAAGAGGCAAATAGGAGCAGCTAGCTGGGGTGAACGATGTAGATCCACAGCAAGGAGAGCCATGGGAAGGTTCTTGTCCTTAATGGTGGTTTAATGGCCTCCAATAGTCTCTGTTAGCCACAAACAGCTGCATTTAGACCCATGCTGCGCCCCCGAACAAGAGGCAGGTAAATGCTCGAATCATTGAGTTCTGCGCGTGCCTGTTGGCGCCCTTTTGCCAGCAATTAACCGGCATTGCAGTTTGTTTTTGTCACTACGAATTAGACCCGTGCTCTTTTCCCTTCCTGGAACCATAGTGAGGAGACCCTCTTGGGTTCTAAGGTGTCCTTCAAAGGGGCAGGGTTTCCAAAGCCCCCTGGGAAAATAGCCGGCGCAATTCCATTCGGGGGTTCTCACCCTGCTTGCTTACCAGAATCATCTGTGGCATGGTCAAAAACCACCAGGTAAAGGGGCAAGCAGGGATGGCCACCCACCTAGTAGTAGGGATCCTTAACAACTATAATAATTCCCATGAAGGCGGGACCTTTGATCACCCACTTGGCTTGCGAAGAGGCACAGAAGCAAAGCTCGACCCGGGGATCCGGGGCCCCAGCGCGGCCCGGGGCGCCCGCCATGCGGAAGTAGCTGTGGGCGCACTTGCAGTGGCAGTCCTGGGGGTCTGTCTCTACCCTGACAGCTCTGAAAGCTCTTTGATCGCTCCCCACAACAAGCACCAGGAGCTCTCTCTCGCTTCCTGAGTTGATGAGCCCAAAACAAAGTCCAAGCTGGTCACGGCGACCATATCTTCTGCAGGGTGGTGAAAAACGGGAAAGCTTGAGGGTGATAGAACTGGGCACCCTCTTTGATGGTTCGCGGAACTCATGGCGTTGCAGACGCGCCCTTGCAAGGCATACCGCCATGAGGATGCTGTTTGCGGATCAAATCAGGCATGTGTTAGACTGTTTGTTGAAGGCAGCCCCTGGTGGCCCCCAAGAAAAAACAAAGGCGCGAGACAAGGCGGGCAAAGAAGGCTAAGGCCACCAGCGGGGCTGCACCAAAAAAGATCTTGCGCTGGGCCATGCCCATGCCTCAACCCCTTCGGGATCCGAGTGGGTCCCAAAGTGGGTCTACATGGCTTAAGTGTTTCTAACCCAACAGGGTTCCGTGGCAACTTCCGTCGGAAAGCTGCCACCTTTTGTTTAACTTGCCCTTTGGTTGGAACCCTCACAGCCCGCACCTCAATTTGTCACGATCTGTTGGAAGTCTAGGGGTTATTTATCTAAACATGTGGTGGACAGGCTTCTTTTTGGATGACTGTCTGGGGGGGAAACCTCGAAACTTCCATGTCATTTGGTGGGGGGGTATCTCCTGTGGTTCCTGAGGCAGGGGTCGAACTCTGTAAGCTGCAAGGGACCTGGTGTAGACGATGCTGCCCCATTGCCCAGGTTCAAAGTCCATGACCCCAGTTTTTGGACTTTGATTAGGCAAACCAACAGTTTGGACAGGCAAGCAACCAGACCCAGCAAGCAATAGTCCAACACTTGGTGCCTAGTGTTGTTTTTTTTTGCCAATAGTCCATGACCCGCGCGAAACAGACATTCAGTGAGCCAACCCCCCACGGATGGCCTGGCCCTGCCGGATGGCATCGACGCAGGAGAGCCCATCCTTCTCTACCATCTGCCAGCACCTATCGGAGACCGTGCCAACCGATGGTGGCCCCTACGCTTTGTGAAAGATATTGGTCCCCCCAAAATGTGTGGTTTCCTTTTTGGCTTCCAGGAAACACCAGCCAAAGCGGGGGTCCGAAATCCCTGCATCTCAGCATGCCAACTCCTTTGGGGACTTCTTTTGGGCCTCTAAGCGCTCTAAGGGGGCTCGGCAGGCGTTCAAGGCGTTCGACGCAGTTTTCCTTTGACACCTCCTGACAGGGTTGCTCCCTCCCTTCCCCCCCGAACCAAACGGTCGATCGCCTTTTGCAGGGTCAATGGAAGAGCCCTTAATGTCCACCAAAGGTCTAAAGGGCCCAATGGGGCCACACCAAAAACCAGCCGTGGACAGGGACGGACTTCGGGAAGTTAGCTGACATTCCCTCCCGGCTGAAAAGGAGCCATCCTCTTCGCTTGAAACAAAGTTGGCCAAAAGAGGCAAACGACACCTGCACACCAAAAGGTCAAAAGGAGTTTCATGGATTCTTTCTTCAGCAGCCCCTCCGCTACGAAAGGCAACCGACAGGCTCCGCCAACCATTGGAAGCCAAGCTCGTTGGGACCTCCTGTGGTCAAGCATGTTGACACTACTCCCTTTATGCATTTTTACTGGAGTTTCCCGGCTCGTGGCTGCCCGTTTTCCCCAAACCCCCACCAACTATACCCACCCAACCGGGGATAAGACAACATGCAGTAGTCAGGTCAATGAGGCCAAAACGTTTGGGGGGATCCTTTGGGCGAGTGGTTTGCAGGGTCCCTGACACCTTGCCCAACCCCCCGTCCCTCACAAGTTAAATGGCTGCGGCTTAAAAAGCATCTATAATCAGTTTGAGTCACACCCAAAAGTGGGGCTCCTTGCCCGACCAAGCAACCAAGCAAGCCGCCAAGCAAGCAACCCAACCAAGCGACAATGCAACCAGGCAACCCAACCAGCCAGCTAAGCGACCAGCCAGCCAACCAACCAGGCAAGCAACCAAGCAACCAACCAAGCAACAAGCAATCAAACAACCAAGCAACCCACCCAAGCCAACCAACCCACCCAACCAACGTCAACCAACAAATCAACCAACCCTCACAGTTTTCCCTTTATTCCCCAGTGACGTGCCAAAGGAAAAAAAAAAAAACGAGCCATCGCCCCGCCTGCGCTGGTTCAGATTGGGCACCTCGTCCCGGGTGCAGCGCCAAGAGCACTCGATGGTGTCGCAGGACACGGGGCAGAAGTCCTTGATGGGCTCCCAGAGGCCTTCCATTGGCGGTGATAAGCAGGGGGTCTTTTTGCCACCTGTTGTGAGAAAATTGGCGACCCCCTTAAAAAGGAATTATTCACTACAAGGGGGTCGAACAATTTTCCACAAAAGGTGGCAAAAAGACCCCCTGGAGTGATAAGGCTGTGGGTCAAAAATATGCACCCAAAATGGAACCCCTGGTAAGTGGAAACATAGACCAAAGCCTGCGGTCCCCTGGTGGTTTAATTTTGACCCATACCCATAAGGGTTGGGTTCCAGGAAATTCTACTAAAAAAGACAGCTTCTTAGGGTGTTTTGGAGCCAGTTCCTATTGATTGCCCTGTAACCCAACCCTTTCTGAAGCTCTGTGAATCAAACATGGACTCTGTTGTTTTGTTTGCTTGGAGGTGGGAAACCCACGTTAAAATCTCGCTGTCAATAAAACAGTGCCGCGTTTTGTCCTTCTTTTTGGAGGCGGGAAACCTCTGTAAACACAAAAGCAGTGGCCCTCTTATTGTGTCCCTTAGGCACTGGGATATGGGTTAGGATCCCTGACATCATTTTGGTTCGGGTGCATGTTCAACGGCTGCTTTAGGTTGGGGTTGTGGCATTTGCCATTGCCATCCGCGGGAAATGGTCTTGGTGCCCTCCTATAGTGCCTATTGCCATGCGCGGGTAGAATGTGGGACATCTGCTACATGTTCTTCTATATCTGGCTGTGGGTCAAAAATAGGTACCCAAAATTGGATGCACTGGGGGGTGCACTGGTAAATGGAACCAAGGACTATGACTTAGTTTTGACCCATGCCCATATACGAGCCACGATTTTTGAGCATAATTACGGGGGAGGGGGTGGGGTGATGGATGGATGCCCTGTCCGAAACCTGAAGGGAAATACGCAGCCCGTACCGAAGGCAGCAGTACGCGGATGCTGGCGCGCGCTCTCCGAATCCAGCCTGAGCAGCCGAGTTTGCTGACAGCCTGGCTCGGTGGGCTTGGGCCGGTCAGGGGCCGCACTGGGCCAAACCAGTAGCAGGGCTTCCGCTTCATTATTTCTCCTTTGAAGGTCTTTGACACAACTGAGTTTCCGCTTGAAATGTTTCCTCGATTGGTCCCTGCCGAAAATTTATAACTCTTCCTCAAAAGTTCGTTGCGTAACAGGCATATTAATAATCTCAAACAGTAGGCTAAGCAAAAAAGCAGCCAAGTCTAACATGGCTTCCTATACTTCCCCTTCGACCATCACCGAATTGGCAACCAAAAGGTGATGGGTAATCCCAAAGGGAACATATGGGTGTGTGTGTGTTATTTCAAAGGGGACCCCTCCCCTCCCCCCCCCCCCCCTTCCAAAAAAGAAAAAAGAACGGTTCGGAACTTGAGGGTTCTGTTTGCCACTGGTTGGCACCAACTCAACCCACGACATCCCGTAGGGAACCCTGCCGGGCGAGTGGCCCATTGACCCCTGCGCCTTACTGCAGTCGTCCACGCCATACCCAGCCGTCCTAGATGGGTTAACCCCCGAACAAGGAACCGAGGAACCTTACACTCCCACAAATGGGCGTGTCTTTCTTGGAGCTACCCCAATTTTTTGCGTTTGAGGAAACAAGACATAAAAGACAAAACACAAGCTTGAGGGCACCCGACAAAAAGAGACACGCCCAAAGTAAAATGGAAGCTCCAAACCCGCCCTGTTTGGGGACCTCCTTTTTGGGCTCCACGCAAAAGATGCCGGGAGTGAGTAACACCTTGAAGGGGTCCGCCCCATGCCAGGGATAGGAAGAAGGAGACTTCACAACTAGCCGTTGGGGGGTGGGTTGCAGTTCCTTTGCCTTTGAAGGCGAAGAATGGGCACAATTCGTGTCAAGTGGCTCAGGGTCGAAAAAAAGGATAAAGAATTTTGCAGCCCGAAAAAATCAATAGACCGAGCCATCTGCAGCCCCCATATGTCGCAGAACTGCTATCCTGCATGCAGCTACGGTTCCATACGGTTGTTCCTTAGGGAGCCTTAGGGACCCCTTATTTCCATCACGTCGACAAACACGACGCAGCCATAAGACGGTAAGCTCCACTTCTCTACCGGTGGCTAGAGATCATGAAGATGCCGCCTCGGCGGCAGTGTCTCCACTTATCACCATGGTAGATCGTGTACGAAGATGTCTATATAATATCAATATATATATATATATATGTGTGTGTGTTTGTATGTATACAAACTATGGTATGCACCTGTAAGCTGCATGTCAGAAAATCCTATATAGCAAAACTTGAAATCTTGAACCCCCCCCCTAGTCTCGAGCCACAAGGCGGCTCCTGAGCATCTCTCCGTGGTCGTCGCAGGAACGCAGACAGGCTAAGCCTCGGGTCAAAGGGCTATTGCATACCTTTTTGTGAACCCGCCTGTTTGTTCAGGCATCGTATATGCTGTTCATAAGTGTAGCTGCTCTCATATGTTTTTTTTTGGGGGCACCACCTCGGTTTGAAGGGGAGCCGAAAGAAAACACCACATACCATACACATAATTTGGAGTCCTTTAGCTCCACTCTTGGTCAAGGAAGGGCAACTTAACATTGGCACGGAGCCACCGGAAAAGAAAGGCACTACACCGGGTGGGTGCGTGATACACTGAGTGGCAATAGCGGGGCCAGGGACAACGTAGTACTCGTACGATCTCAGGATGTTGGCGTATCTACCGGCCACAAGACACCGCGCGCACCCGGACATGCACCCAAAACGCAGGTCCGAATACATCGAGCCGAATACATCGAGCCACTACCCGCTCCAAAGAGCCACAGGGTTGTTGCATTGGCGCAGGAGGTCTGAAACAGGAGATCCCCCCAAACCGGAAACTGTCCCTTTGGCTCCTTTAAGGCCACCGCCAAAATGGGGGAACCCCGACATGGCGGTTTGATGCGGTTTTCACTTGGGCTTCCCATTTTGCACTGACTCCGCACAGGGTTTCCCTTAATTGCCAGACCCAAACAGCCGCGTGAGTAGGTGCAGGCCTGGCCAAGAAAACTGGGCCCCGAAACCCTTGAGGTTGCCTTCGGTTTCCCTCAGGCAGAAAGGCTTGGAATACCCTTGGCGCCCCAAGAACCCTTCGGCTTGCAATTGCCTCAGGTGGAACTTCCCGCGTCCAGAAATTGGAGGCCCAAGACGTGCGTTGCTTCGGGGTCCAAGACATGAGCGAATTCCTGGCCCTTGTTGGGGTCCAGAGTTGTAGGATACAGACAAAGATTCCTGCTGGGCTCGCGCCGATCGCGAAACCGGACAGCCCTTGCGGGCGTTTGGGAAGGATTCAATTCGGCCCAAGAAGCCGAACTTTCGACGCCTTCGAACAAGGCAAGTCAAAGGCGGCCCCTGGCTCGGGAACGCACAACTTCCATGTGCTGAAGTCCCCCTGGAAAACATAAACATGCTTCCAGCACTGATAGACACCCTTCAAACCAAAAGGGGAAAACAACAAATATTCCTAAGCAAACGGAAGAGGGTTCCCGTTCCGACGAGTGACTGGTGCGCACCAGGCCATCGGGAATGCCGCACCCGGGCGCCCAGTTGCAAGGAAAGTCCTACGAAGGGCGGAGTGATCTCCGGACCAGCCGAGAACCAGTGGGGATATACCTAATGAGCCCGGGTTTCGTTCCCGGAGTTGCCGAAAAAAGACACCCAGGTTGCTCCGAAATCGAAAGATGTGGGAGCCAACGCAGATATGGGTGTGTCCTTGTTTGGGGGGTAGACCCTTTGTTTTGCAGTGTGTTGTGTCTTTTGTGGGTGCTTTTGAAGGGAAACTAAACGGAAACCTGCCATGTAGATGGTTCCCTCAAAACATCACACCCATATCGCCTCAGTTTGTTTTGACGCAAGCCAGTGCACCTGCCTTAGGATGCCAAAGGAACAGACAACCGATGCTAGGCTGCTAGGTTGCTTGCTTCACTGATTGGTCTAAAAAAAAATCCATGCCAAGTGACCAGCTCTGTCATCACACCCGAACCTGCGACGAAATTGTAGGTCTCAAACCACCCATCCAAGCTGCGTGTCCGGTCGGGAACTCGGAGCAAACACACACAGAGCTGGTCCTCTTAGCATGTAGCCAAACCCGTTCGCGCTGGCCCGGGAGCATTCAGGCGACAGCCAAATCAAGATTCAACGCAAACCAACCCGACTCCTCGTTGAGACAGTAGTTCACGGCGCAACCGTATGGCGCCTTGCCCAGGAGAAGCACGTGAAAGAACTGAAGCAACTCTATGTGGGTCGATCAAAATGTCCTTTACATGGGATGGCCGTTGAGAAAACCCGCTACAAAGATCATATATTTCTTGCTAAATTGGAAAAGCTGCCCATGGCAACTTGGGGCCAGGAATATTGAGCAACCCCCCACATATGGGATCCCACGGTCGCTGAAAGGGTGTCAACTGGGGAAAGAAACATGGGATCCAAACTGCCAAGAAGCATTGAAGGAATAAAGTAGTGACGTCCCACTATGCCGTGTCTATTCTCAATCCATGCGTTCCGCCCCACAGGACCTGCTGGGCTCAGGGTCTAACCTTAGGGTTTAGGGCTGGGGTGTAGCGTTAGAGCTTTGGGGGTTTGGGATTTTGGGTTTAGGTTTAGGGCTTTTAGAGTTCAGTCTTGTTTAGTCTTCCTTTTCGTAGCTGAGTTTGTGAGTTGGGCTACCGAGACCCTAGTCGGAGCTTAGCCCTCCAAACTCCCAAAACACTTGCTCGGAGTAATTTACATTTGGCGGCCAACCTGTCCGGAGTCACATGGATTGCCCGTATGTCCAGTGCTGTGCAAGGACAAGTGGTGAGTGTGCACTTCTTTCTTGTTGGGGGGGGGGAGAAACGCCCCTTGTGGTTGCCTTTATAGTGAAGGCAAACCGAAGGACAGTCCGGGCCTGTTTTTTGGAGGAAGCCGGCCTTTTTCGGAGAACGCCCTCGCACCCGGGAAAGACGACTTGCCACATGAGTGGCAGTGGTCTTGAAATCAGGGGCCCTTGTGTGAGTCGGTGGGTGGGGGGGAGCCAAACCGAACCCAAGTAATTGATGCACCCAGTGAGACCGTGGCCCCTCCGCTTTCCTGGGGTGAGGGGTCCCCCCTTTCCCAACTTGTCCAATGTCTTCCCATGGCACTGGCTGGAATGGCAGCACTTTCCAATTCCATCCCCAGGCCCTCCTAGCAGTTGGCACCCGAGAGCATCTTTTCTCCACATCTATTTCGCTCCGTGCGCCTCGATGTCTAGGGCCTGTCTCTGCCAAAAGGGGGTCCTGAAAGTCTCCTTTTCGGGCTGGTCTTCACAAAGCCAAATCCCAAGGAGCCACACCCAAAACCAGAGGCACATCACGTTCGGGATCGGCTTGTCCAGGTCCCGAGCCTCTCTTGCGACCCGCTCACCTCTGACCGAGCCCATGTCCGAATCTTCAAATGGGAAAGGCTGATGGGAATGACCGGCTCATCCCTGCGGGGAGCCGATTCTCAGATATCAAAAACACTAAACCTTTCATGACCACTTGGACTGCACCAATTCTTTGTTGCCAGCCTGTCTCATCCAAATCTGCGAGAAATTCAAATCCCTGCGACATATAGCCGTCTTCCCGGGGTTGGCTTATGTAAAAACTCGGTTTTGCGGGGGCAAGTTGTGTTTGACGGAGCCCCAGGTGTCCCATCTCTTGCTGCGAGGTGTGACGAGCAAAGGGACTAGCAGGGCATGTGCTCAGCCGGTCGCGGCTACGAGCGGAATCCAGCGGTCTCTCTCGCAACTATGTTGCAAAGCTGCGCCTTTGGCGAGGGGCTGCACCCAAACGCCACTCGACCCACGGCAGGCAAGAATCCGAGTGAAGCCAGTTCGTTAGCAAGTGACTTCAGGCGAACTTGCCGAACCAACTTCCGACCGCGCGCTTCGCACCAATCCGTCTCTCAAGTACCTCTAGTACCCGCAAATGGGTTCAAGCACAAGTGTCTGACCGGTTCGAGCCGGCATGGCAGGGGAACTCCAAAAGTGTGACTGAGCGAGTCCGTGGCTCGAGTTTTCATCGTGTCCGCCTGGACCAGGAAAAAAGATCAGAGGATCCGTCCGGGGGGGGCGAACCAACCCTCAGGCTTCCGTCATCGGGATTCGGACCCCGCGTGAACTGGCGATACCCTGCGGCCCATTGGATTTGCAGGGTCTTCGTGACGTCATAGTTGGAGGGTGTTGAGAATCAAAATATGTTTGGGCATTTCAAGGTACGGCTTGCGCTTGTGGAGGATCTCCCAAGAGTACTGAACGGATCTGAAAGAGTACTATAAGAACGCAAACAGGTAGGGAGAAGTAGTGGTGGAACTCACCTAAATGGACAAAGCCTTTCTGGCCAATGCTTCAAATGCCGAGAACTCTGAAAGGGCCGAGCACCCTCCCATTGCGGTAGCAAAAGGAAACCCGTTTTTTGTTTTCTTAGTCGTCCATCTGACTACGGCTGGTGGGAAATAACCCTAAAACCAAAGTGGCCAATGAATCCCCCCGTGATTAGTTACAACTTCAGTTCCTTATCCAAAGTTGCTGACAAGCCTCGAGTTTCGAACGGTTTCGGTTTCAGAAGATCTCGCCGAATTCCGAATCCTCGAGTTTGCGGGGAGAGCGCTGCCAGCGTTTGCCGCGCAGCCCCTCCCCTCCGCCCCCCTCTGCCCTCAGCGCCCGGAAGCCGCCTCTAGACACTTGGCGGCTGAAAAGGCGCCCGAGCCGACCTCCAACAAGACAGTGCGGGGGGTTCTCAAAATGGTGGTCCCCTAGTACAATGACAGTTGATTTGATCAGTTCCTCCTCTTTTGTGATCGCTTGTTTGGGAATGATTGATTCACCTGGACCTTCAAACTCCGGGAAACTTCTGGGTGTTTTAGGAGACCCCTACGATTTACCGAATTCTAGTGGTTTAGCTACAACTTGGGCAAAAGCACGTACGAATTGTGTCGTTTCCAGTTGCGCATTGGCCATACAAACTAAATACACCTCGCAGCACTTGCCAACGTGCCAGTGAACACCATGGGATGCCTGGAAACTACGACTGTTTCTGATTTGCGGGAGTTTGCAGGTTTTTGCGGGAGTTGTTGCCGGAAATTTGCGCGCGTTTTGCGGTCAAAATGGGTACGGTTTTTCTGCACCGCACAACTTTGGAATTGCGTTGCATGTTTTGACAAACTTGCGGGCTTCATTTAGTCGAATGCCCCTGCAAACCTTCCTTTACTCTGTCAAAGGCCGCGAGCGTTGCAATAGTGTGTTTTTTGGGAGTTTTAGGAGTTTCAGGTTCTTGCGTCAAAAAGTGCTATTACGATTTCCCGAATATCCAGTCAAAGGCGGAAACTGCTTTTTTTTTCAGGAGGACGAAGGTCCAGGCATGTCTTTTGGGAATTGTTTTCATGTTCCTTGCCTTGCGGTCTCCCATTGAGGTTCCAGCACGTTCTTCCATTCTCGTAAGTCCCCTGAAAAAGAACACACACACACACCATAATCCAGTACTGATAGACTACCCCTTACTGCGAACAAGCAACATATTCTCAAGCAATTGGGATGTTTTGAGAAACCCCCATCTTTCTTTGCCAAACAGAAGCGCCACGTGAACTTGAGATTCGGTTCGCGCAAATCTGGGCCGCCCAAGCAAGCACGCCGCGCTTTGACATGCTCTGACTAGATTGCTGGTTTCCTGTTGGTCTCTTTTTACAGCAACCAAACATGGCACCCTCAAAAAAAACACTCTCGTTTTGAGCCAGCCAGAGAAAGGGGCGTCCAAATGCCTTCGCCTGCAAGCTCTCAGTGATTGCTTGGCCGACTGATCTTGCCTCGCGCTCTGTACATAAAAAGCGGTGGGTGAGAAATGAGCACTCTGTCTCAGAGTCACCGTCAGCGCCTACTGGGCGATTTGAACACAGACACTTGTGTGTCTTCATTTAAGTACCGCGTCCAAATGGGCGAATTATGGGACTTCATCTTGACCGTCTGCAGTGTTGCCTCGGCTGCTTGCCCAAATGCTATTGCAAAGTCGGCACATAGGCAGCGCAAATCAAATACAAGCAAAGATGCTGAGATCGCCCCGGGCCAACCGTAGAGCTGTTCAAGGAGAATTGGGAAAGCTTACTTCCACCCAAGAGCTGGACACTCACAGCACCAAGGCTTTGCAAAGGGAAGCGCAGCACTGCTCAAGCTGCCTTGGCTAGTTCATGTGAAGGCGATGGTTGGGCAACTATTTCGCCTAGTAAAAACACTCAACTCTGGAGGAAGCATGTCGTGCCCAACATGTGCATTGCCGAGAAGTTCGACATAAAAAGACCAGCTGAGTCGTTTTGCCCCTAGCCGGTTGATTCATGTTTGCACCTGCAAACTTGGTTGCTGTTGACACCCCTGCAAAAAGTTCAACTTTTTGGGGGTTTAGTGCAAAACACCTTTATTTCCCCAAAAAAGTTAAAGTCTAAAGATCCAACCCAATAGCGGTCAAGCAAAGGGTGCAATGTTTACTGGCCACCCAAATCCGGCCAAGAGTCTCGGGAGTCCGGAACAGCTCAAACCATGCCATGTATCAAGTTGAACACCTCCATGGGTCCCGGCAGGCGACAGGGGCCACACGCAAAGGGGCACGCCCACATCTTGGGCTCCCACGCCCACTCGCCCACTGCCTCCCTCTCTCCCTCTCTCCCTCATTCCCTCGGCCAAAGTGCCGAAGCATCAGTGCGGGTACTCATCCTCAGCGAAGCCCACACGCCGGAAGGAAAACCAGACGCCAGCCAGTTCACACCGAGGCAGCTCTCCCCGCCCCGGCTAAGACAACTAAGCGCTGGGCGAAACAAACCGCAAGGAACAGCCAAAGAAGTTCACATGGCCCCGTTGGCTGTATGCTCCTTTCAGGTATCTTCAACTGATGGTGGATCCTCCCATTGTTGGTTGGGTTCCTTGTGGCTTCCCTTTCAATCACCCCAAAAAGGGTCCTTTGGGTGGGGTTAGGGTTGGCTTGGGGCTGATTTGTGCTAGGTGTGCGTCTGGTTTGCTTGCTTCGAAGACGTGGTTGTGTGAGCTTCGGGGAAAATCACTAAGGAATTTGGGCCAACCCATTTTTCAGGGTAGCTTCAGGGTCCCTGCCAAAATAAAAGAGAGAGAGAGAGAGACAAACAACATCCAGCCTACCAGCCGCTTCATGCCCCCCCCCGCCCAGAAACCAGAAAAAATCGAACAAACACCCGTAGGAACCATCCAAGAACCCACCTAGCAACCACCACAACCAGCAAGGAGCCACCCAGAAGCCACCCGTCGCTCAAGGCGCTTGTGGGTCCACTCGGTGGCGTTGGCGCTCAAAAAGCTCTGGGCTTTGAGACGCTGAAGCCGGCGCGTGCCCATGACCACCAGGTTCCCCAGGTAGTCCTAGCCCAAAGCCCAAAACCCGCCCGGAAACTCGGACGCGTGGAGGGAGGAGGGGGGAGGAGGAGCGGAATCGTGTTTTTTTCAAGGTTGCCCAGGTAGTCCTGCCGGTGGAAAGGGTCAGAGAAATGTGCCTGATTAAAATTTAACGGGTTGGGGGAGGGGCTGGGGAAAAACGGTGCTCATTGATGTTTCCAAAAATGGATTCAATCGCACGTTTGTCAAGTTTGCGGACTAGGTAAAATATTTGTTTCTTCTGACACGGTCGAACAGCCTGCTGTTGGGTGGTAGAAACAACTCAGTCCATTAAACATCACCCCGCCAAAAGGCAGATCCTTTGAGATGCGCCGAAAGGCTACTGTTTTTCAAAGGTGTGAGAAAAGCCTGTGGCGAGCTTGCTATGTTCAGTGCAAATGGGATCTCAGGTGATCTCAATAAACCAGAGCGTCCCTACACTCCCACCAAGCAGGACATTGCAAGCCCACGGAAGGGGAAGGCTTGCAACGCTAGTGCGGTTTGAAGGTCAGCACGTTGGGCCCTCAGCCAAATGCAGAGAATGCCTTCGAAAGTCGATTCGATAGCCAACCTAAATTCAACCCAAACCAACATAAAGCTATCTAACCCGTGGCTAAGCTCAGGGCGCCTGACAAGAGCCAAATAAATGGTAAGAAAGCGATTGACAATTGACGTGAGCAGCAGTTGTGAAAGATTGTATTGGCCTCAGTCTCATTCCCTACGACATAGGTAGTAAAACATCTTCGAAAATGGCCGACTCACTTGACAAAGCGCTTGCTTGGCACACCATGCCCAAAACAAATCCAAGTGTCGAACAAGATCGGCCTGCTAGTAATGAAAAAAGGCTCTCTTTACATTGGCGATTTTTTGGGGACTCCCCCCCAAAAAAAGTGTGTGGCTACTTTTGGTTTCCCTTTACCCCCCCCCCCCCCCCCAAAAAAAAGGAAAGACATAGAATAAAACAATCATTAAAAAAAACTCAACACTCCAAGCCAAGCTCTCCCAGTGCACTTTAACCCACCCTGTCTTCACGTCCGCCCCCCAAAGAAAGCTGGGATTTGGATGTACAAGGGGGCATGAAACCAGCTCTAGAGCTCACCTTGACGGAAGCCGACAGGTGTCAAGCCTTGAGATCATCCATTCCGTTTTGGGCCCCGCAACCATGGTAAGTTGTTGGAGCTTCCGACCCATTGATTCATTCACACATTCTGCAAAAAAGCAGCGGCTTTGATCGGCTGGTGCCAAAACCGCAAGAAATATAGACCCTGGTGTAGGTCTGTGGGTCATGCTTAAAAAGATTCATCTTGTCACAACTCCCATGTCGCACCTTCGCGAGCGGGAATGTTTAAGGAACAAAGGCTGCGCATTACGAGTTGATGAGCCCTATATGTGCAAAACATTGCCTTCCCACCCGGCTGGGAAGTGCTTCGACCGTTTCGACGGCCTTCACCATGGTGGCAACCCAGGCGATCATCAACTCCTGAACCTTCTCGTTCACCTTCTCGAAGCCTGTCCGAAAAAGGGCCCGTCTTAAGATTGTCCGAGGGCCCAGCCAAAGCCAAGCATGCCACGGACATGGCGTCACAAGGGTTGGTAGAACAAGGGGCTTTGTTTGGCATCGTTTGTTCTAACTTTGGCCAAGCTTGGGTATCATGCCAATACGCAATTCAGCCTGCTTTGGTCGCTTTCTCTTGCCTCAGCATTGATTCAGTTGGACAGCTCCGGCGAGGTTGCAGAAGCGTTTTTGGCAATAAAAGGAGCCCCAGACGGCCTATGGTCTGCTCGATCAGGCGCTTCACCATCTTCTCGTCCTCCGCGCACCAGGCCCCGGCGGTCTCTGCGTCCACGTTGCACAGGGACTCCCGGACTTGCAAGATGCCCTCCTCGCCCTCGGCGGAAGCCGTCTCTTTCGTTTTGGGTTCCAAAATGGATGTCTCGCTTGTTCGCGGGGCCAAGAAATGGTTGTCCCTTTGGTCTTCCTTTGTGGCCACCGAAAAAGGGGCAGCCCGAAATGGGAAATCCCTGATCCAAATCTGCAACCCATAGTGGGGCACCACAACAGCAAGCAATGCATCTGGCAACTCATGAATGGGCTCAAGGAGTGTACCTCTGGGATTTGGACGGACTTTAACCCAATTTTCTGGCCAAGGTCCGTCTTTTGGGCCATGGATTCCCTTTTCCGTTTGCCGGCATTCACGAGTCGCTGGCAAACCGGGAGCCGGGGACGCGTCCCACCCCAGCCCTCCCAGTTGATTGAGCATCCTGCAATGCAAGAAGGTGCTTGGAGGAAACTCTGCCCAAGGGAAGAAAAGCCCTCGAAGGTAGGCAAACAAAACTTGTGTGTGGTTTGGGTGGTGAAAGCCATCTTAGACTAGGCGATGGGTGGCCCCGGTGCCCGGTGGAAGCATAGAAACACGTCAATTGCGGCCAGGACCTTTGCTGGCGACATGAATTGGCCGACTGCTGCTCAACTCATTGGAGCTTGCGTGATGGGACACTTCCGCCTACTTCGAAATACTCCAAAGCTACCATGTTCGAGAAGGAGAGGCTTCCGGGAAGAAAGGTAGAGCGGAGCCAGACATTCGGCTTCCCAGGTTCAGAGCCCGGGGGTTTGGAGGTGTGGGATGGAAAGCCCATCCAAACCATCCAAACCGAAGGGTTGCTTCAACCCAAACCAAAAAGACTTAGAGGAAACCACACAAAAGGAGCCTTGCAGCTCCATAGGGTTCCCTCAGAAACGGCGCCTGACGAAGAAAAAAACTGAGGGAAGCCGACAAAACCCGCGCAGGCCACTCGCACCTTGCGGATCTCCTGGAGGAGGCTGTCCCCCGAGGTCTGCGGCAGAATGAAGGTCACCTGCTTCGCTTCAACCCGACCTTCAAACGGCTGTGGGTCAAAAATAGGGTAACCCAAAATGAACCCCCGGGTAAATGGAACCAAGGACTAAAACCTGCGGTCCATTGGTGGTTTCATTTTGGCCCATACCCAAATCAGCTTCACTCGAGAAGGGGGGTTTGGTGGATAGGTCTCCCTTTAATCTCTGCAAGGGGATCAAATCCGAATCCAAGCCACGAAGCCAAGCCACCCACTGGGGTAAACGTGAGCCCTAAAGGCAAGTCGCTTTGGCCCATGGCCCGGCTTGGGATTTATTTATTTTTTTTTGCCGGGCTTTGGCGGTCGCTTGCTGGCTGCTAGTCACTGTCCCCTCGCGCAATCCAGCAGCGCACCGCCCGATGTGCAGAATTGGAGATGATTTGCTTTTCATCCTGCAGGCAATTCATAGTTGCCTGCTGGCTAGCTCTGGCTACTTTCTGAAAACAAGGGAATGCAAGGGCTGGCTCTGACCACCGTGTGCTTTTCTTTTACCGTGTGCTTTTCTTTTCGCACTGGCCTAAGCAACAGCCAGCGTCTCCACATACAAGAAGCCGGGCTTGCAACGGAACTCCCCTCCTAGCGCTCACACACCATGGCACCTCGATTTCCAGCACCACCGCCGAGTACTGCTCAAAGATGGTCCAAATCCTGCGATGCACCCCCCCATCGGTTTCCTTTTCGGGCGTCAAACAGGAAAGCTACACCAAAAAGAGCAGGGGCTCCGACAAAAAAAGCTTGCTGACATGGGCCGAAGATCTCAGGAACCGCTTGGCTGGCTTGTCCGGCTTGGTTTCAACTGGCGAGGGTTCAAATCCCGAGGCCGCAAGAACACGAGCTACAGAGTCAATCCAGTTGAGGTGCAATGGTGACGGCCGGAAAGAACCCCCACCAAAAGAGAGTAGCTTCATATTGGGAAAGCTCTCCATCCGAAACAGGTACCCTCAAACAAACACGACGTGTGTGAATCGTCGGCCCCCTTTTTTGGATGGTATTTAAATGGTAATCAAAGGAAAACTGCTGTTTGAGAAACCCAAACCTAAGAATGTTGAGAACTTGTTGGCGAACCCTAGCAAGACCAGTTGAATGGGATTGACGTTCAACTTTCTGAGATTTGGAGGCAGGTCTGGTGATATGATGCTGGAGCCAAGTTCAGGCTCCCAGTCTCCAAACATTTGGCTCGAGGTTCGGTGAAAAATCCTGACAAATGCTCCATTTGGGAGACAAGGAGCATGGGCATGCCAACAACAACTCGGCCCCCCTCCCTCCAATTGGACGAACCACTCTCGCATCCTTTGGCTCATTTCGCCGTTTAGCCGTGAGGTGGAGTTGGTCGTTGGCTCTTGCTCCTATTCTGATGCACCCCGAATTGCGCCCATTTGGAGCGCGTGAGGTTTCTCTGCTGGCGCGGCTCCTGGAGAGGTAGGCCGGCTGGTCCCAGTGGTCCAAGAGCGCCACCATCCGCCCGATGCGCTGCAAGTTCTCTTCGAAGACCTGCGAAAGGTCGTTGCTCGTAGCGTGGGTTCCCCCGTGGGGTTCAGGATTGATAAACAACTGGTCGATTTTGAGAAAGAAAGGAGGACGTGTCCCCTGTAGTGGGAGTACAGGATGAATAAACATGATCGAGATGGCGGTGTCCCTTGTTAGTGGAGGTTCAGGGTTAATAGACAACCGGCTGATGTTGAGAAAGGGGGTTCGGTGTCCCCCATTTAGTGGGGGAGAACATCACTTCAAACGGGTTGAGTTCTCTGGGGTCAACATTGCCCCGCCTAAGCTTGAAAGCCAAAAACCGCCATGCCTCCATTTTAGGGCCCAAGTGGCCCTTCAGCGTGCGCCTGACGTTGCCCCAGCTGCACTTCCCCGATCAACGTGGCGTTCCACGACCCGCCAGAAGGTTCCTTCGGTGTCCTTTCCAGTTTTCCCTTGCTTAAAACCTCCCCACCCATTCCAAATACCAGAAGGAGAAAACAAAAAAACAAAGGGTGGCCAAGGCCGCCAGCAACACATTACTTGAAGGGGCAGGGAAGATAGCAAGTGGTTAGCAACCATGGCTCTAACCCGCCAAGGGGACGTACATGGTAGTCGGGGTGCAACTTTTCTTGCATGCGTGTTCCTTCCGTGGCAGTTGCCGACTGCCCTTCAGGCCGGCGTTGGGTTGAGCGCCATCCTGCTTAATCCGCAGGGGCCGGGGCATGCGCTCCGGTTGGAACCCGCCTTTGGTGTCACTTTCAGAAGGCAAGTGAAGCCCAGGAATCCCTGGTACTGATCAAAACTCAACTAGTTGGTTATTAAGATAAGGGCTATCAAAATTTCGGGTCCCCAAAGTAGGGGGTGACAAACACTCAAAAGCTTCAACAAGACAGGTGGCCGGGAAGCAGTTTGTGCGACGCGCATGCGGGGCAATGCTTTCGGAAACCAAGCCATCGAGGGTCAAAACAACAGGAGCACCTCCGTCTTTCTCAAAGTCCCCTATGGTCTGTTTACATGTGGTTTCCGATGTACAATTTAACCACACGAAAATGGGACCCTGGCACTTTTTTGGTAGGGGGCCCCAACAATTTTCCCGGTGCTCCGCTCGGTTTCCCCGTAGGAAACCCCCAAAAAATCAAACCGCCCGGCCTCCCCGAGGCTCCAGTCCCGGCTGCCGGCGCCCTCGTGGTCCAGCAGTATGCGGTACTGGTTGTTCACGAAGAAGCACATGTACAAAAACGTGGTGCCCGGGACCAGCTTGCTCCTGAGCCACTGAGACGTCAATGTGTCTGTTTTTTTTTTTGCTTCTCCCTTCACTCTGGTAGTTGTTTTTGACTTGTTGCAACAATATTCGGAATGTTGGTCCTTCATTATGTGGTTGTTGAGGTTTTTTTTGGTGCTCCTTCAGTCTGGTGTTTAAAAAATGGTGAGCACATAGATACCGACATAATTTCACACATATCAGAACACCCCCCATGGCCATCACAAGGTTTGTTCTGTGACCTCTGGGCCATTGTGGGTGGTCCCGTCAAATGTTTATTGTGTTGTTGCTTTTTCGGACTTCCCAAGGCAACACTTGGTTTGTTTGGCACCCGCTTTAGCACCAACGGCCTGCCGACTTTTCTCCCATATCCAAATCCCCAATTATTGTCCAAAGGCGTTGGATTGGCCCACCTTGTGTCACCTGTTGACTAGGGGATGCTTGGGGCAGGTGTTTAGGTGTTTCCTACCAGACCCCGTTGAGTCAATTGTGTGGTTTCCATGCCACGGCTCACTTGGCCTCCATTCATGGAAACCAGTGGGAAACTCCAAACCCTGGGTTTCCAAACCCTGGGTGTCCTGCGTCGTGTTTCAAACAAACAGTATGTGTTTGTCGCCTGTGCGCCGGCTTTGTTCGACTTTAAATAGGTTTCCTAGGCTTTACTTCCCTACAGATTGGCGTGAAACTCAAAAACTACCCATGTCGAGGAAACTGCGTTCGAAATAAACGGACGAAACCCTTTTGGGAAACGCAGGCTAATTTGTAGAAGCGCAACTCAGTTGCCAAGTTTGGATGAAATGAAAGGTGATCAGCTTTTGGTGCCAAAATGATTGCCAAATCGGGGAAACCAACATACTAGACCCAGGTGCTCTGCGCTCCCCCCCCCCCAACAAAAAAAAAGAAAGAAAAAAACGCGCCAAAAGGCTGGTCCATCCAGGAGCGGAGGGCACTGCGCACCTGGCGCAGAAACATGGGCACCCGAACCCTGAAAGAGTAGCCTTGAGAGAATTCACCCCAGAATTGTCAGGGCAAATTCAGACAATACCCCTTGTTTCAGGCTAGTCTGCAGGGCCAAGCGTGAATTTGGGACACCATTTTGATTCAGGGGGGACACGTGACCACATGTAACCTGACAAGGGGGGCCCCTCTGCTACGTTCCGTGGACAAATGACTTTAGCCATGAAAATTGAGGAGAGCCCGTACCAGCAAATAGACACAGAATGTGTACACTCCCTCAGACTAACATGGCAGCTCTCAGAAGGCCTCTGTAAATGGATCCAAGTCTTCCAAAGGGGTCCTGGGAGCTTCCATGATAGCCTGAGGGAGGATATGCAACAACTAATTTTTGGCACGTTTACAGGCGCCCCGAAATCCGGTTGCCTCATTTTAAGAAGCCATCCAAGGGAAGGTTGCCCCTCATTTGTCTTAAACAAAATGCACTTCCCGTGTCTGGGTGGTTAAATTCCATGCCAGAATGATGCACATCTGGAGCCGGCTGACTATGATTCTAACTCACCGGAAGTCCTTGCTCCTTGCCTTCACAGGAGGGAAGCAACGAGTAAGGCAACAGTTGCGACTTTGAGCGTGCCAGCCGACCTTACATCAATTGCACAAGGCGCAAAGACCACACGAAGCAAAGCCCGGGAGCAAAGAGCCAACAAAAATCACAACAAAACAAATATCAACCAACCAACCAACCAATCAAGCAAATCAAATCAAGCAAATCAAATCCAAGCAAACCAAATCAAATCAAAGCAAAGCAAATAAGATTAAATCAATCAATCAATCAATCAATCAATCAATCAATCAATCAATCAATCAATCAAATCAAGCACTCAATCAATCAATCAATCAATCAATCAATCAATCAATCAATCAATCAATCAATCAATCAATCAATCAATCAATCAAATCAATCAATCAATCAATCAATCAATCAATCAATCAAATCAATCAATCCAATCAACTCAATCAATCAAATCAATCGAATCAATCGAATCAATCGAATCAATCGAATCAATCGAATCAATCAAATCAATCAAATCAATCAAATCAATCAAATCAATCAAAACAATCAAATCAATCAAATCAATCAAATCACTCACTCACTCAATCAATCAAATCAATTCAATTCAATTCAAATCAAATCACATAAATTCAATTCAATCAATCAATTCAACTCAATTCAATTCAATTCAATTCAATCAATCAATCAATCAATCAATCAATCAATCAAGCAATCACTCAATCAATCAAATCAATCAATAATAAATGAATAAATGAATAAATTAATTAAAAAAATAAAAATAAAAAAAAAAAACATAAAAAAACATAAAAAAAAAATCAGTCAGTCAGTCAGTCAGTCAGTCAGCCAATCAATCAATCAATCAATCAATCAATCAATCAATCAATCAATCAATCGATCGATCGATCGATCGATCGATCGATCGATCAATCCATCAAAACAAACAAGCAAACGACCAACCCACGCACCACCAGCATCCGGAGTGGCTACTGCTTTAAGGGCAACGCGGACTTTCCAACAGACGAGGCGCCAGCGTCACCGAGTAACTCCAGGCCCAGGACAGGAAGTGGGTGCACTGCCTCCGGTGCCTTTGGTCCACTACCTAAGCGAAACCAAATCCGAGCTATGCGGATCGATACCGAATGACCATCCTTCCATTTGGCTTTTCGACCCCTGGAAAAAAACAAAAAACAACATTTCCAGTAGTGATAGATTCCCAGTAAAACCAAGGGGACACACTAAAAACTAAAAACAACCTTAAGCAAATGGAAGTATCCGGTGGATGGTCCGGTCGGCCGGGACCCAAAAGAAAACCCAAGCAGCACCCAAGAAAGCCCCTAACGACCCGAGTCGCCATTCGCTCCCGTTTGGGTTGAGGGGGCGGAGGGAAGGGACCTTGTCAACTGGAAAATTGGTGCAGCCCATTTCCGAAAAGTGGGTTTGACTTCTTTCCGCATTTGCATTTGGAAACTTAAGACCTAGTACTATCAAAGCGAGCTGATTGTGTCGGCCAGCATGGTTGGGCCACGGGGCTTTTGCTCTGCGTATCCTCCGAAAGTCGTGCAGCCAAGCGCCGGGTGTGCAAGCAAGTATCGAGCAAGTGATGCTCTTTGCAGGATGCCAAGGGCCTCCCCCCAACAAAGCACTTTGGTTTGACAGCCGCTTGTTTCCGCACATTGGGGCGGCCCGAGGCACACACACTCTTCAGACCAATCCATATCTCAACTCGACCAAACCTGGAAGTGCATTGGTACAGGAAAATATACAGGTTATTTGCCAAATACCCAACAAAAACGAGTTGGTTTCCTGCCGAATTTCCTCTTCGCCGTTTTCTTGGAAACCCGAATCGCTGATAGCTGGGGTTCTAATTTCAAAAGGGAAGAAAGGTGCCTCTCGGCAGGCTTTCTTTGGACTGGAAAGCGCGAAAGGCATAGGCTGGCCCTGGCAAGGAGGGTCTGTAGACCCAGCTGGCGCTGGCAAGGAGGGGTCTCCAGGCCCGTGCTTATTGGTTGGAGCGCAGTTGCCAGCATTCAGTCAGTTTGCCTTCAAAGGACAAACGCCATACAAATGCATCATAACATGTGATTTCTACACCCGAAACATGCTTAATCAGTTTAAACATAGTTTTACTACGCTAATGGTTTCTAAAACTCTCTCCCGTCCCGTTCTTCGCGCACACTGCTTGCCAGGCAGCATCCACCAGGGCACAGCCCGGCATACCATCGCGGGGGCACAGCAAATCCCGACCAATGGGCTCTTCCCTGAGGAAGAATGCATCCTGAGACCGCAGATTCGCCCTGTGCATCTCGTCGGTTCCCTTTCTGGGGTTGGGATGAACAAGGTTGAATGAAACACAGGAACCCGGGTGAAAATCAGCTTCCCAAATTGGCACACCCTTTAAAAACAACCCTGTCTGGAGCCTTTGGAAAACGGCATGCACCTCTTTGGCTTATAACAACCCAACCGCATGGGGGGGTGATCCGGGATCCCGTTGACCCGGGAGTAGGGAGCAAATTGGACGGAACGCTTCACTTGTTCAGAGTTCCTCATAGTGCTGTTGTTTAGTAGTTATCTAGCCCCTTCTATGCTTGTAGCTTTCACGGCAGCCTCCTTGAGCTTGCCCTCGGGCACAAAAATGCATCTGAGTGGCCATGACATCTCATTATTTTCTAGAGGGGCAGGGTGGTCAACATCCTCCTAGTTTCTGAAGCAAGGAACCCGCATAGCGACTCCTTTTCTACGCCACGCAGAAAAGAGCACGGAAAACCGAAGTCCCAAAATTTCCCAACTGGGCTTGTTCTTTTTCGGGGAGTTTCCCAGGATTCGCCGGTTTCCTTCTCCCTTACCCCAAAAAGCCCCCAACTTCTCGAGCCGCAAAACCCCAAAACTTCGAGCGCTCGTGGCTCCTTGAGGTCGTAGAAGTTGGGGTTCTCCATCCGGCTCCTCACGGACGGGTCCCACCCAACTGCGACCACTTCTCCGGGGAGTTCGGTCCAACCCAACATCGCCGGGGCAATGAAACCAGTTGATAGCCATTCGGCGGTCCTGGCTTGTGATTTTCGTTCAAGCGGCAGCCACAGCCCGTTTGGTTCATTGGGGGGGGCGTCTCTGCTTAAAGGTGCCTTTGTTTGGCTGGTTTTAAAGGGGAATAGCTAAAAATCCTAATTTTTGAGGGTCTGATTCCTATTTTGAGACAAACCTAACTTATTCAGACAACGATCTGCCAAGTTTTGCATACGCAATCCTCCAATTGCCCAGCTGGTTTGCAACTTGGCTCCTGCCCTGTGCCAAATCCAGAAACTCCTCGGACAGTAGGAAAGCCACGCTGACGCCGGCCTGAACTGACGAGTTTTCGGATTGCAAATAACAAAGTAATGCCCTGCATTCCGTGTGTGTGTGTGTAGCGTTCCCTTCCTGAGTGGGTTGGCCAAACAAAGTCGTGGT